CCCATACTCCGCCAGCTCTTTAGACTGCTGAAGCTGAACGTGTGGGGGAATTTACGGCCACCCTCCTCGCTACCTTGAGAGAACGCACCTCTCACGACGGCAGCATCCTCGAGTAATCTGAAGTGACGCTTAGCCAACTTCCAGAGTTCCACGCCAACAACGAACACAATGGTCGCGACGACAACAAGACTCCATTCCCAACTGATACCAACGTGCTTGAAGACGTTGGTATTTATTGTGGGAATGTATACAACGGGAAACACGCTAACAGCGCCCACGACCACCGCCCAGAACAAGAACTTATTCTCGTAGACGTCCTTAAAGAGCGGGAACTTGGAGCTGTCATTTGGGTTGAGACGGAACATAGACCGGCGAATGTCCTTGAACTCCCAGGCGCTAATAAGGATCAGCCACGTCAGCTCCGCGAACACGGTAGCTCGCGCCCGGAACACAGGTTCGCAAATCCCGTCCTCGCCATACTCTCTGTTGCAATTTACGCCTAGCTGCCCACCGTTCACTCCGTAGATGACGATGACAAATGACATAAGTGACAGAGTGCCCATTAGCAATCCGTAAACAAGCATATCGACCAGGATCTGGTTCGTGAATACACCTCGCTTCCTATCGTGCGGAGGTTTACGCATCACTTCACGAGAAGCAGGCTCACGACCGAGGCCGAAGGCGGGGAACGACGAAGTCACCATATTGATCCAAAGGATTTCGAGAGGCGAGATGGGGAATACCGAAAGACCTGACTCGTCCTGGAATCCGAGACCGCATATCAAAAGAATAACTTCTCCCACGTTCGAGGTAAGTAGATGTAGGATGAATTTCTGGATGTTGTCGAACATTCGACGACCCTCGCGGATGGCAGCGACGATGGAATTGAATTTATCGTCGGTCAGCACGATTTTGGCCGCAGACTTGGCTACATCAGACCCCGAGCCCATTGCGATACCAACATCAGCCCGGGATAGCGACGGGGCATCATTGACACCGTCGCCGGTCATAGCCATAAAAGCAGATCGTCGGCGGAGAGCCTCAATCATACGGGTCTTTGTGTCCGGAGCACAACGTGCAAGAACAAGTGGTAATTCCGGTAAGGCATCGATCTCGGCATCAGAAAGTTTATCAAAGTCACTTGCCTTCTGCACAATCGCGCTGGCAATTTCAGGGCCGAGAACACCTAGATTTCTGGGGATAATACCCACTTCCTTAGCAATCGCTTCGGCCGTAGCAGGATGGTCGCCCGTCAACATGTGTACCTGCGACGTAGTAGGTTAGTACCTAGCTATTACACCTCAAGAGGCGCGTTAACAAGTATAAAAAGACTTACCTTGATACCAGCAGTAGCACATTCGGCGATCGCCGGCGTCGTCTCTTTCCGTGGTGGATCATAAATCCCCGCGAGTCCCAGGAGTGTAAGGCCACTCTCCACTTTCTTTCGCAGATTATCGTCCCCTTCATGATTTTCAGCTGTAGTCTTTTCCTGATATTTCCCTTCCCACGGTCGAGAAGCGATGGCGAGGACACGCTGCCCCTGGCTAGCAAAGACGTCCATCTGTTTTAGAATTCGCTCCTTGTACTCCTCAGTCATTGGCTCTTGGGAGTCTTCAATACCGACGGTAGAGCAAAGGTCAAGGACTCGCTCGACGGCGCCCTTGGTGAACACCATACTATGATCAAGGTGTGGACTATTGTAGACAACAGACATACGCTTGATACTACTGTCAAAAGGAAATTCGGCAACTTGCTTCCAACCCTCTGCCTCCAAGATCTTCTTCCCTTTCTGAAAACGATACGCAAATACTTGTAGGGCAATCTCGGTCGGTTCACCAGTAACTTGCCATTCGGGACGACCATCGCTAGGTTCTAGTTCGTGCCTAACTGTAGCAAGGTTACAAAGCGCTGCAGAAAGGAGGAAGGCCTCTAGTTTAGGGTTCATAGTGGCCTCCTTCTCATCTTCCTTCTTATGTCTAGGAGGATTGAGCTTCTCGTCTGGAACGTCAAACTTAAGAACTGCCGCGCTACGTTCCTGGTCAAAGTCTCTTTCTTCAGGCTCTTGGTCATTAACCTCAGAGAACGTGACTCTCCCCTCAGATGGGTTACTTGGGTGCTTGGAGTCTTCAACCGTATAAATTGCTTTAGAGGGAATCCATACTTTCCGCACTATCATTGCCCCTTGAGTCAGGGTGCCTGTTTTGTCGGAGCAGATATTGGTAACACCACCAAGAGCTTCTAGGGCGGACAAGTTTCGGACTACTACATTAGCCTTACGCATGACAGTAACGGCAACGACCATAGTGATGGTCAAGACTCTGGAAAATATGTTAGTGTTAGTGGTAGTGGGGCAAGGATATATATGTGCCGAGAACTTACGCAACGAGGGATTCGGGTATGATAGCAATACCAGTACTTATAGCATAAATGACAACTTCCCGGTCAACAGAAAACTGATTGACGGCGAATACGATGACGGCAAGCAAGAGAGCACAGCCAAAAAGTACGTAGGCTAATTTTGCTAGCTTGATCTGAAGCGGTGTTCCTTCAGTCAGTCCGAGGAACTTGCCAATGAAATCGTAGATGCGCCTAAAAAGACCAATAATTGGCTGTCGCTTTCCGTACTTCTTGTAGTTCATAGAGCGACCGGCTTTGCGATGTTTCTTTGCAGTCGAAGCAGCAATCTTGCCAACCTCAGTCTGCATACCAGTAGCGATAACAATACCCTTACCACGCCCCTTCCGAATAGTTGTTGTGCCGTAGGCAATGTTTATCCGGTCGCCAATGCCGAGGTTTTCATCTTCCAGGTGTTCGACTATCTTCTCAACGGCAACTGACTCTCCAGTAAGAGATTGTTCGTCGGCGGCCAGATTCATGGCTTCGAAAAGACGGATGTCGGCAGGGACTGTATCACCCATTTTCAAAATGACAATATCGCCAGGTACGACTTCAGCACTATGAATAGGTACGTTAGCATTGTCATGGAGCTAATTGAATTACATGAATGATAATGCAGGCTTACTTAGGAATAACTCGAGTCCTACCATCACGAAGTACCATAGCACTAGGAGCGGAAAGGGCTCTAAGAGCATCCAATTTCTTTTCTGCACCATACTCCTGGTAGAACCCAATTGAAACATTAAGTACAATAACGGCAAGGAGGACGCCTCCTTCAACCCAATCCCTCATTCCGAAGCTTAATCCCATAGCAAGGAATAAAATCTATTATCTAGGGTTAGCTCTATGGTGATATTCTCGGCTACGGTATAAGTGGCTTACCAATATCATAGCATTGAACAGTTGCTTAAGGAATATTTTATACCAGGGAATAGCTCCGCCGACATCTAACTCATTAGGGGGATACTTCTCCTGTAGCTGCGCGACTTTGGCAGATGACAAGCCTCTTTCGAGGTCTGTCTCGAGTTTCTTAGCAACATCTTGGACAGTTAAGAGGAATGGATGGCGCTCAAATTGGACAGCCATCGAATCGGGCTCGGGGCTTGCACGAATATCGTCGGCTTAGGACTCGACTTGGAACTCGGCTCCTCATAGATGAATACAGTTGTAGGTATAAACGTCTATGGATTCCAAGCGTTTTGGTCTTGGCTTAAAATATTTCCAGATACCTAGCTTATAGAAAAGGATCTTAGAAAAAAAGAAATCGTCTGATCACACAAGTATTTTCGAAGCCCAGCCGGACAGGTCCGGGACATGGATCTCTTTTATAACCTCGAATGGGAGCAAACAGTTCGCCCAAGCGCGGGGAACTACGCTGCTGGAGATACAAGGTCTTTGCGATTCCATCATCGGCGCCAAGTAAACCAAGAGCACTTATCACCATCATGATGCATTCTAGTATGCTCGAGGAGTTGATAAGCCACCGAAGTGCTGTTTAGCGTGGGTATTGTGCGTGTGAAGGTTTCTAATTGGCTAATACAAGAAGAAAAAAATTGGCATGTAGTCGGTCCCAAGAAACTAAAACGTCAGAGATAACACCATATCACTACATAAAGGATGGATGAGGCTCCTAAGCAAGAGATAGTCGCGGGGTTCGGCACAGCACGCGAAAGAATCAACCTTCGTAATTGGTAACATAAGGCTTGGCCCCAAGGTGACCCAAGGTGACCCAAGGCTTGGCTTCTTAGCGCTAAGACTTGGCTTCTAGAACGTCTTTGTTCTAAGAGGCTCGCAAGGCTGGGTGGTTGGTGATGCACGACTCGTAGTTGAGTCTTAGGAGAATCTTAGGAGAGTCTTAGGAGGACAGGAGGAGAGTTTAAAGTGGAGCCAACCTGTTGGTTTTTCGCTTAATGCTTGGCGGTAGAATATCGGCTAGTCGGCATAAATTTTGGCTCAGAATTTTGGAATTGTTCAATCATCATGTCGTGTGCATAACAAATAAGATTTCAACCTTTTACATAGGTACCAATGTAGATCCAATCTCCATCTCTTAAAACCCCCGCCTATCACACTGTTTTTTCTACATGAGCCTCAGTTTACGGTAAATGTATGAACTTGCCTTACGACATCGAAGTTGAAAATGATCGAATATATTATTCGTCAAGTCCGTCTATTCGTCTTACTTTAATTAGACTGTGCGAATATAATATTAAATACTAGGTATGTCCTCAATACTAGGTATGTCCTCGACCCATGCTGTTGTTAGATGGTATGAAAACAGATATGTCCGATGCAAACGTCATCCCACAAGCTGACAAATGACAATTCACATTCACCATGGTCTCCATCCTCTCATAACATTTGAAGCTGGTTAGCATCGGTCTGTCTTCTCTCTACTTTTATCATGTACTAGTTATGTATAATGAACATCATGTTCGATACTCGTAACTTACATAAATACGTTACAGTATATGTAACTATATCATTACAGTATATGCCGTACAGCTGAGTGCAGATGTGGTCTGATAATTCTCTTAGATAAATTCTATAAATCCGTAAATATGTCCCAATGGTCGACTAGATCTCCCCGGTTGCAACTCTCACAACTATGTGTGTATTCTGCAGCTTCCCCTCATTGATCCTATTGGTCCTATTTGGTCCTATTTGGTCCTATTGGTGGTCTCTTATTGGTAGTCGGATGCAAGTGTTCCCTAGCTCTCCATGCTTCCATGCTTCTCCCCTGTACCCCCCTTGCTCGATTTATTCTACGTATGCATGTTTGTGTCTCGGTTGCGTAAGGATCTGAGAGCAAATGGATGTGGAATGGAAGCTTCCTCGTCCTCAATAGTTTTCCCGGTCCGTCGACGTTTCTGATTCGTTCGTGCTACTGAACTGTGAGATGGATCAAGAAGCTTGTCGACCTCAAACCTCGATTTTCCTCCGTTTTTATTCCTTTTCCTCTTCTTTTCATGTCAGCTTCTAGCAACACTCTGTAAAAGCCTTGTAACACTCAACACCAAATTCTCATCGAAACTTTTACATCGCTATACTTTCTAGCTCGCGTATTCCTTTCGCACCGATCCCCTTATACCAACTATCGCACACTGTGCATCTTCTTCAGCTAGCTCTTCTGACGTCATCAACATGGCCGACAGCATTACCAACGGCATCGAAAAAGGTATTGTTTCCATCAATTCTGCGGCCTATATATCGTAGAAGCTTTTGCGACCCTGATCCGAGCCAAATTGAGCCATTTTGAAAGCTCATGCGCATTTATACGGTTATGCGACTAGGTCGCAATATATTCAACACAGTACACTAACTGTATAGAACTAGGCGCGAGTAGCGAAGCAACAACATCTGGGTCGCAACCCAATATCCCTCCAGTTGTGAAAAGTCCCATTAATGCAGGAGAAGAATCCATGGAGCCATCGATTGCGGCCAATACCGCAGCTCCCGGGGCGGCGACTGCGCCTAACTCCGATACCCTGGCGCAAAACGATGCTGCTACCACTGATTCAAAGGAATTGGCCGAGAAGATAGACGCTGCTGATAAATTGGCTTCGCAGCCGGAGAAGTCAGCCGAAACGGTGCCTTCAGAGTCTACTACTACGGAGATAGCAACTGATACACCGTCACTTACCAATGGTGAAGCTAAAGAGCCTCTTAACCCCGTTACTATCGAAGAGGTTCGCGATCAAGATACGCCGGCCGCAGCTCCATCCCAGCCTGCTGAGATGACTGGGGCACTACCCATCCAAGAACCAGCAAATGATACTCCGAAAGCCGATCCGGCACCAGTTACTGCCGAGCCTGATAAATCAGAAGCAAATACTGGAGAGAAACGCAAGCCAAGTGAATCTAAAGTATCTAATGGTGATGCTACGCAGGAGGAGTCCCCGGAAGACGCGCCGGCCGAGAAGAAGCAAAAGACCAATGGAGCTAATACTAACGGCACGTCCAAGAAAGTTGGTCGACCAAAGAAAGAATCAAAGAAAGATAAAAAAGCACCACTCCCCGTTGGTAGAACAGCAAGGAAGACTAGAAGCCAGGGAGCTCCGGATCAAATCCTCTAAACTAAAATGATGAATGAATTTGGTTCGTTCTTACCGCTTCCTATGCATCGATTCGATTATCTTATAAGACTTATGGGCTGGGAATATTGGAGGCGCCGGTGGGAGTTGCTGTCCGCAGGCTTGTGAGGCGTAATGTTTTACGTTCATCCTATTATGTACATATTGATGCTTGAATGATCAAAGAATAGGGGTCAATTCGCTTTTTTGCCGTTGTATACATGGAAGGAAAACCAGAGGCCTGTGCGATGGGAATGTGTGTGGTGCGACGCAAACAAACGTAGCGTTAGCTAGCTGAAGATAGTATCCTAGGGTTATCCAAAGTAGGTATCCTACAAAAATGATCAATATAGAATCGTAAAATCAATCTTGCATAGAAGATAAGCAACCGAAATATACGGCTCTAGCACGACATGCCTATTCCACCATGGTTAGATGGAGAGGGAGTGAAGCAAGGTTAACTTCTTCAGGATTCTAGATGAGACATCTAGAACAAAGAACAGTATGTATTAACCGTAGGCTCCCGTAGCTAGATTAGAGTTCCTCGCGGAACGAAGTTGTTTCCTAGCTTCTTAGTCTACCTCGTGACAACTTCTCTCCTAGCATACTCCAAGTCCATAACTACGAGCAGGTATCTGATTCAATCGATATGTCCCTAAGGCCGTATATTGGCTAATAATATACCGTATTTAATCGTATCCGCCCGGCTGACAGAAGTCTAGAACGAACTATTGGGTACTGCTTAGGGATAATGTCTGTTATCAATTACCTGGGTACATGGACATTGGTGCTTCAACTTCAGATAGTTCTACCGCCGTTCTATCGTTATATCACATTGTTATAATAAAGCCATATGGAGTTTATGATATGAGACTGATGAAATAGGATGCTTCCCAAAACCTACACGGTGTATCAATGTACGACCTTTCCATTTATACCTCTTAAAATAGGGTGAAAATCGTCGTGCCTCTTATAAATTACGCCTCTCTTCTAAGATATTGTGTTTCTAATCTATTATTCTACGCCTAGTTATAGGAGAGCTTACCTAGCTAGAACATCCGACAAGACTGTCAGGGTATAAGTGGGTTAGGGGTAGATGGAGGAGTAGATCTACTATATAAGAGGCGCGTAGCTCCCTCGTAAGAGGGTAGAAGGCGGGCGTTAATAGTTCAATCTATCTATCCTGACATTCATTATATGTATGACCTCAACCAAGGGCGCAGTATTTGAAAAAGACTGTGCTCAAGCGTACTCTCGTTACTGAAAGTTATTATTTACACATTAGTTACTGAAGTTATCATCTTTTATTAGGTAGCTTTGAACAAATAACAGACAGCTCGAAACCTCGGATCATGATTGAAATCCGCAGGCATCTACAATAGGTGTATCTAAGTAACTTAAGTACTTTTCCTCCTTGAAGGAGTATCAAAGAGGCGAAGGCCGTCTCACAAGCTTATGGATTATGAAATGCATTATGCAACATTCCTCTATCTAAGTGGCCTTCTGTAGATACGAAGAAATGGTAGAGAGCATTATAAACGCGCATTGTTTGATTGATAGTATCGATGATACGACTAACCTAGTGGCTTTTGATAGAAACTTAGGTAAAGTTTCCTACGGGGGTATCAAAGACGCGGTACCTTGGTTTCAGTCCTCCTCCCACCAAAGACTGTCTTGTGAGGCATTGGTCAGCCCTACTTGTGCGAGTGCAACTCAACACTGGAGCTTAATTTTCTGTGAGACAATTAATAATATGCCGAACATGTACTGAGCGCCATAGCTATTAAGTTGTACCTCGTTGCGTTTGGGCTAGGAACAGTGGGTTTCATTTCTAGTCTAAACGCCGGAAAATCAATCGTGAAGGAAACTAAAGGTCAAATTTAGAGCGAAGGAATTTATGACCGAGTATGGGGAATATGCGCGAAGGACTTCTCGCAATGTAAGTAAAAGTCCTCACTTTAAAGGCCTTATATTTCACTCGGCTATTGCGGCGCATTTCTGGGATAGGAAGATTCTTTAGTGTATGTAGGACCGACGAATTCATAATTTGGTACGCGTTTATATCATCGATTAGGAGCCACCTTTCCCACGAGTAGTTAGTTGTTGGTACTGATGCCTTTCGTCACGTGGGGTCGCCCACATGGACCCTAACGGATATACGGAAGAGATATTGAGATATCCGCACATGCATTTTCGAAATGCATCGTTGTTTTGAGCCGCGCGAAAGACTTTGCCGTGGTACCGTCTTGCGGTACGGCTGGATATCCGAAGCGTGGCAGCACTAAGCCGGCCGAGCGTATCGGCTTCTTAGCCTGATTCAAGAAAGGCGCCGGCCGCGACATCTTACCAACTAAATACTGTATACGTACATGTGTGTACGTGTAATGGGTGATTTCTTGAATACTCTATTGGCTATCGTTTAGTAGTTTAGGAGCCTCGAAGGCTAGATTTGCATTGCCAAGGATGAGGTTCTTAGATAGTGGATTATAAGCCCCAACTCCCGAAACCCTGGTTCGGGGGATCGGCGGCGACCCTTACTACACTACGTTACAGATACTGGACTTTGTATCTTCTACATAGAGGTACATAGGTACCTAGGTATTATGGTAGGCGCTCGATAATTCGGATTGAAGGCTACCTATATATAGGTACGTCGAATGTATAATGGTTCATCATTTCGAGCATTTGCAACCCGTGTTTTATTTTTATATTCACGCGTCTATAAGCGCGTGATATATGAGACAGAATGACCTGCGCGCAAGGCCATTTAAAGACAGTGTTGATTGCATGCCTCTGGCGGTCGAGCTCGTATTCTAGAATGGCCCCACCGAGATACCCCCCGGATCTTACGGTCTCATTGGCTATGCGACAAGTGTTGGCCCCTAGGGATGGACCAGTCAAAAATAGAAGTTGTGAGTGGGGACTAAGTGGTTTCGTTATGCGATTGGACACAAATGTCTGGCTTCGAGTCTCATTTGAAGCTTTTTCAAGGGTACATACTATGTAGTGAGATGGCAGGATGAGTCTCGATATAGGTACTTGCACGGACTACATGTTTGATGTTTGAGCATTATGCAGTTATTAGGTATTAGTTCGTAAAAGTTGAAGTACAGATGCATACAGGTACTCGTACATGGAATAGGCTATTAATTGATAAACGCTTGTTTCGTAGTAACTCGTTAAGTGAGCTAGAGCGGGTTAGTGCATGCACTATGTAGTGCGTAGCTCGACGTGTCCCAGCCGGCAATGCGGCCTTTCGTCATTCCATCAGCGTATGTAGGTACAAGGTAAATATCCCCTGGGTCCAGAAGGTTCAGAAGGGATCCTGACTCAAGTTATCAGTGAAGTGTTCCTGAAATCTCTAAAAAGTTCTCAAGTAAGGCATTCGTTTTCTTCATTATACCTTCTTTTCTACATACACGCATACCAGGTCCTATCCAAACCCATTGAAGTACCTCATAGATTAGGTACATGTTTACCTAGATACATATCTACATTATCCTATTATTCCCGCTCTTGTCGTTATCCCCACGCCGCTATCAGATCTTGATAGGCGCGAATGGATCTTGGCTCTCCTCCATCTTCTCTTCCCTACCAACAACACCAACTAAGTACCTTCATCTACGATACCTCGAGCCCACCTACGTAATATAGGATATTTCTTTCTCCCTTCGCTCGTGTTACTTGTTCGACTCTCGATTTATTCCTGCGGTCGCGTCGCTCGTTTGCAGCCGCTTTGTGCATTTCGACCTAAGTAGCATCTCGACTATAACGAACGCCTTTGTTAGAGAATAAGAGAATAAGAGCTTGTACTCTCTTGTCAAGGAAGACTACGAGACACTGCGATACTTTCGCCACCGAGCCCGACGATAATATATATATATCACTATAAGATATCGGGCTATCAAATGCTCTATAGACGCCGCGGATGAACCCTATACGAATTTACGAATTTGAATACGTTTTTTAGACAATTGGCCGCTGAAGTTGCCTCTTCAGGCCTCTTACCGAATTTTTTGGAACCCACTTCCGCCACTGGCCACAGAAGGCTACCCAAACAGACTTCCGCAGTAGGATGGATGTCTGGGCTCATGCGCGGTTCCTGCTACCCAGGGACGGTACAAGTCCGGTTGAGGAGCTGCTAGACTTGCTGCGGAACCCCTTTAAACAGACGGTAATTAGATCAACCTGCTTACCTACGTATCTCGATCGCGGAATAGATAGCTAACTTAACTTCGTCGTAGCTTACGGATGGTGCTATCTGGTCTGCCTTGGGCACATCATTAGGATTCACACTCTTTATCGCCATCGCTTTCTCGTTCGTTCGACCATATAATTCCGTTGTCTATGCACCGAAGCTGAAGCATGCCGACGAAGAGCATGCACCACCTCCGATAGGCAAGGGGTATCTTGCGTGGATCCCGCCGTTATGGAAGACGAGTGAGAAAGATATGATATCCCACGCCGGCATGGACGCCGCCTTATTTATAAGATTCACAACCATGTGCCGCAACATCTTTCTCGTGCTTGGCGTCGTTGGATGTGGAATTCTCCTCCCCGTCTTCTACACTCTGAACAGCGACAAGACAGGCAACCAGAGATGGTTCATGAGATTGACACCTTCCAATGTCAACGATCAACCTGTCTGGGCGATTGTGGTAACAGCTTATATATTTAACTTCGTCATCATCGGGTTTCTGTGGTGGAACTATAGGGAAGTTCTGAAGCTCAGACGAGTGTATTTTGAAACCAAGGAGTACCAGCAAAGTTTATCCGCCCGGACCCTAATGGTAAGTCCTCGTTTTCCGTATATCGTTTATAGTAAAACTTACCAGGAGTAGTTGAATGATATTCCCCGAAAATATGCCAATGATGAAGGCATCGCAAGGATTATTGACGATGTCATTCCGCACGCTTCATTTGCTAGGACAGCCGCTGCTCGCAACGTTAGGGATTTGCCTAGTTTAATCCAGCAACACGACCATACCGTTCGAAAGCTCGAGAAGGTGTTGGCCATATATCTCAAAGACCCCCAAAACTTGCCAGCTGCTCGGCCAGTGTGCTATCCTTCCAAGAAGGACCCATCATATAGCACTTATCCGAAGGGACAGAAGGTTGATGCTATTGAATACCTTACTCAGCGAATAAGGGAACTCGAAATAGAAGTGAAGGAGGCCCGGGCCAATATTGATAAGCGCAGTAGTTTATCTTACGGCTTTGCCAGTTACGACGACATTTCCGAAGCCCACAGTATCGCATATGCCCTGCGCAAGAAGAAGCCTCATGGTGCTACCATCGTCTTGGCTCCGAGACCAAATGACATCATATGGGATAACATGCCCCTTACCCCGGCTACGCGGAGCTGGAGAAGGATGATTATCAACTTCTGGATTGCTCTACTAACGATCGTCTGGATTGCGCCTAGTGCTATGATTGCTATTTTCTTAGTCAATCTGAGTAACTTAGGTTTGGTTTGGCCTGCCTTTCAGGCCCAGCTGTCCGGCAATACTGGGTTCTGGTCCATTGTTCAAGGTGTGGCGTCTCCGGCCATCTTATCTCTGGTATACCTAGTGCTTCCTATTATCTTCCGTCGACTTGCAATTAGAGCTGGTGATCGCACGAAGACCGGACGCGAGCGCCATGTCGTTGCTAAGTTGTACGCTTTCTTCGTCTTCAACAACCTAATCGTCTTCTGTCTCTTCAGCACTATCTGGAATTCGGTTTCGTCTGTTGCCAGCGACCCGCAGAAAGCTTGGGATACGCTATCAAATTTCGGCATAACCCTCTTTATCTCGTTGTGTGATATCTCGTCATTCTGGGTTACTTGGCTATTACAGAGGAACTTGGGTGCTGCCATCGATTTAGCCCAACTGTGGACCTTCATCTACAGCTTCTTCATGCGGAAATTTTCGAGTCCCACGCCGAGGGAGATGATCGAACTAACGGCACCTCCGTCTTTCGATTATGCCAGCTACTATAATTACTTTTTGTTCTACTCCACCGTGGCTTTAGGTTTTAGCTGCCTCCAGCCCCTTGTTCTTCCGGCTGCGGCATTATACTTTTCTATCGATGTATGGTTGAAGAAGTACCTGTTGCTTTACATCTTTGTGACAAAGACGGAGTCTGGCGGGACGTTCTGGCGAGTCCTGTTCAATCGCTTCGTCTTTGGCACCATACTTTCCAATCTGGTGGTCTTCCTAACGGCTTGGGTGCGTGGTGACGGACTACACACGATGGCCTTTGCATCCATTCCTTTACCATTTATTATGGTAATCTTCAAAGTATACTGTTCTCGAACATTCGATGCCAAGATCCATTTCTATTCGACTCGTAACATCCAAAAACATCCTGAAGGGACTATGCAGAAGGATCCATTACGCTCAGCTGGACTCGCTCATCGCTTTGGTCATCCCGCTCTTTACAAGCCTCTCATTACACCAATGGTACACGCAAAGGCTCAGAATATTCTAGCTTCCATATACAAGGGGCGTCTAACGGATGGCCGCGAAGCTTACTCTGGAGATACGATGTCTACATCTGGCTATTCGGATGCCTACATCATGAATCCAATGAATGCTGGTAAACCTGGGAAAATGGCGGGCATACCGGGATTTGAAATAGTGCCAGAATCCAGGCTTGACTTCGAGTATTACAAGACACGTTCCGAATTTGCAGCCGAACATGGTGGCGGCGATATCTTTGGTCGTTCTAACGATGTTATGCGCCCCGGGACGCCTGGTAGCTTATGGAATGGGAGCGAGCCAACGTCTAGATCGGGAAGTCCGACGATTCCAAGCATTCCCAGGCCACATAGCCCAGGATTAATGAGCAGAGCGTTTTCACCCGGTTCTGACGTAGGTATGACTTATCCAAGCGGATACAACCAACCCTTAGGCAACCATTACGCCCCTGAACCCAGTATCAATCGATCGCGTAGCCCATTGTATGCGCATGCAAACGATAGTGGATCTAACCTGGTAGGAAATGCAGCAGCGATGCCAGTGGCCGCTCCTGTCAGGGCACCAGGTGGAGCAGGAATGTTGGGCGGCGGCCCGCGGGGTTATGGTGGTCTGCCGCAGGAAGAGGACCTCGGGCCGCCCGAACAGGATCCTATGCAATATAATTACTTCCGAGAAGCAAGAACTTCACGCAGGTTTTAGGGGTAATTAATTTCCTATGAGAACGACTGTACATACAACTCGGCGCAAGAAAAAGCAGGTTTGGATATAGAGGCTTTCGGCAACTCGGGTGCGGCGTTTCTGGCTGAAGAAAGTTGGCCACGTTGACGGCGACCCACGACGACTTTTCTAATATTGAGTTATAGGCGATAATAGAAAGGGATGCATGATAACGACATGATCTTTTTAGATAGATGGGACTCGGGCCTCATTTATAGCGGCTAACTTGGCTTATAATATGCAAGCAGGAAGAGTAGCCGACGTGCCCTGAGGGCCGTCTTAAATATTATACTAATATTCTATAAATACTAACGTAAATGTCTTTCCGGATCATAGTGGAGTTGGTTGAGGATGTAAATACGAGGCAGAATTTGTGGCTAAGTCGTGTGTAGGCTGACAGGCCTCTGGGTACCTGTTTTTCTACCTAGGTACCTCTTATGCAGTGTTCCGATCTTGCCAATGCTCGTCTGCTGCTCATTATTAGGTGGCACGCATGCCTTTGAGCGTTACCTTATGCTATGTTCCATTGGTTAGGTAGGTAGTCATATGATCTAGGGAGCTGGCCTATCTTAGGATTCAAAGTCGGCGTTGTTTGGAATATCACATTACGATGTCCAGTTAATATAGCCCATCGCCTTCGTAGCGTTGCACGACGTTCTGCAGGTTTTAGGTACCTAGTTGTCGACACGGCCTGCTACAGAACCCCGCAGCAGCCCGAGCCTCGCATACAAACGAGGTCTCCCGCCTCACTCTTTAATATCAAAATACTGGCCCATCTTTTAAGTAATGTTCAAATTCTCTCAGATGATTATTTATTTCTAGATGAAAATATCCTATCCAAATATTGAAAATGGCAAGCGTCCCATACGAAATGTAAGAATAGCGCAGATTAAGGGGGGCCAATCCTATCATTGAAACCAACTTACAGTATTCTCTAGTATTGCCGCTTCGAAGCCGTTCCGATTCCTCGTCGGGCCGGACAAGAAGGAGTTCTTTATGAACGCCGAGCTGGTCGCGCGGATGTCTAAACCCCTCTGGACTTTGGTCAACGGCGAATGGATGGAAGGAAATGAGGGATTCACGGAATGGCCCGACGTCGACGAGGGAACGTTTGTCCGGTTCTGCGAGTTTGCGTATACAGGGGATTATAAGGCTGCGGAACCGTTCGAAGATACGCCCACGCCACCGAACGAGAAAGAGAGTACGCTATTAGAACCTAACTAACCTACCTAATATATATATATGCTCACAAGGATAGGCGGTGAAGCTACAGCTTCGACGTCGGGACCAGCGCCCAACGGGGAACAAATTATTGAGGAAGCTTCAGCTCAGGAGCTAATAGTTACTCATTCAGCGTATGGCGAACTACCAGTAGATTCCTACGATCCCTATGCGATGAAAAAATACAAAAAAAAGAAAGGCTTGGTCTTCGTGGAAGAACCGGAAGAACCACCGCAGCCGCCGCCGCCGTCAAAGAAGGACATCATCTGGCGTGAATTTCAGGAGGAAATTAATGATGAGCCAGATAGGAGAGTGAAAGAAACTTCAAATAAGGCCCCTTCGGCAAACTACTCCGAGGTTCTCCTCTCACACGCGCGTCTGTACACCTTTGCAGATTGCTACGATATCGATAGACTCATGGAGCTCAGTATTCGCAAATTACACCGGACACTAACAGTGTTCAACCTCCACAAGGGGGCGAGAGTGACCGATATAGCCCAGCTCATCGACTACTCATACAGGAATACGATGGATAAAGGGGACAAGCAAGATCAGCTGAGAAGCCTCCTTGCGACTTATACGGCGTGTAATATCGAAGAGATGTGGCCGAACTTCTATTTCCAGGATGTTCTGGAGTCGGCTGATGTTTCAAAGGCTATCATCGGGCAGCTACTCAGGAGAGTGAACTAGGCACACTCAAGATAGCGGTTTATGGATCTGTATTACTTATACCGGGTCACTATTCAATTCTATCGCGAGTAGTCGTCGAAAAGGTGGATAGGAAGAATCGATACACAACTTTCATAACAACTTCATTGGTGACACTGTTCTAGATGCCTTGGGTACTTAATGTATTAAAGGTACTGAACTTCGTAAGGCTCTGTGAAAACGTAGGGTACGTAAGTGTGCTATGCAACAATAACTATAGATAACATTGAATCTGCCTTGCCTGTAGAATTTATGTCTTTTTCATAAGGCCGACTTACTTGGGCTGGCACATCATTGAGTTGATACCTTAGGAGGTACCTATGCCTGAAATCGTATTCGCCATTAGGTGAGAGGCTTCGCCTCCGATGCCTAAGGTATGAAGCACGGAGAACCGAACAATCGATCTTCAGAGGTGCGAGTATATTTCGTCTACTCTACATGCTACTATCAAGCTCACTGTCGAAGACTAGGGAGTATTTAGGGTCCGCGGAACTTTCAATGGCGATTTAATCTACGGGATCTTTAGGTGATACGGGTTATCATGGCACAGCAAATAAGAAAACGTAATTTCGGGGAGAATAAAGGATACCCTATATAGGGACAGGGGCGAGGGGGTTCGTTCTTGGGAACTCTGTCCGCTTTTTGTATTTGCGGGCACATTGTATATCAGATATTTCTCCTCAGATGTCTTGTTTCTATCCCGTCGAAACTTCGAGATAGCAAGGTGCTAATTTAGGGGTGTACTCTGTTTGTTTTCAAGAAGTATTTCCTGCAAAGAAAAACATTCTAGATCCATTCAAATGGCGTTTCATGGAAGCGTTTCACGCAGGCTGAAAAGTTGTTATGGTAAAACGAGAGCCCGCCAAATCTAGCGGTCGTGAGTCTTTTCTTCGTTGATTATAGATCTAATCTAATACGTACATCATGTCGTATCTTTACTATTATCATTATTATTAAACAACATCTAAAGGCGTTACTACCCATATTAGCATTATCATGTATCCTCCCATATCCTGATCAATATATTCCTGAACTATAATATCTCATCATTTGAGAGTCCCGCTGTCGCCAAGCTAAGCCGATTGACCTTCCATAGCCCTACTTGGGTCACTTTCAATCGTGCAGCGGTAAATCATGTTTCAAAGTGTTGTCGTCCGCGTTCCGTCTTTTGGAGACTCAACTCTTCCGTTAACAAAGATGTCACGAGACCAAGGCCAGAGAAACCGAGCATTGCGTAGAATACGCCGCGCATGGCCGACAAATACGCTTGTAAGACGGGTGCTATTACCTCTAACGGAAGATTTACGGTTCGCATTATTGGGATAAACGCGACGGCATTGTGCGGATCCCTAAGAAGACTAAGGGAGTCGGGCAATTCCCCAACCGTAGCGATCGCGGACCCAAAAGTGCTGCTGAATATTGTCGAACCAATAGCGAGTCCGACTAGACCACCCAAACACCGGAAGGTCAACAACAGGGCGATCGCATGTCCAGTGTCATCGACGCTTGATACGCTTGCCTGCATAGGAAGATGTAGAAGACGGAGTAGAGCACCGACTCCTGCACCCCAAATGATAGGGATCCCATACCGCATACCAGCCGATGAGTACGGGTCTAATAGAAGTAGCAAACCAGTTCCCAGAGTCACCAAGCCCCAGGATAGCCAAATCCTCCTCTGGTAACCCATCCCGGCCTTCCCGATTCCGATTACTGAAGCAATGGCGCCTAGGACACTGGTGACACTAGTAGGAAGTAACGACACCGCGGCTCCGATTCGTGTGTCAAGCATGACGGCTTGATAGGACAACGGAATATATTGTAGAAGTGTGTATAATGTCATGCCGTGGATAAAAGCGCCACATAAGGTAACCGCCGCGGTTCGGGAGCGGAAGATTCGAAGTGGGATAACCGGGGCCTCGGGTTTCGTTTCGTAAAACACAAATAGTGCAATGACTGCGACGCCTAGGAGCAAGGGAACCAGTGTTTGATAAGAATCCCATGGGTACAAGGCATCAGCCCAGCTCAAGGGGAGCACAAACACGGTACATCCTATCGTAAGTAACAACATACCATTCCAATCTAAGCGCTCCAACTTGGCATCGAACGACGAACCGAGCGACCGAAGACGAAGAAAGAAGGCCAGTAGGGGAAAGGCGACGCCCAAGAGCGGTAGGTTGATCCAACCAATCCACCGCCAAGTAACGTAGTCGCTGAAAAGCGCGCCGACAGTTGGCCCAAGGATACTACCAATAGCAATGGGCAAGGCCATGATTCCGAGGTACAGAGGCCGCTCTTTCAGGGTGGTCATATCGGAAACGATGATCTCGCCAAGGACATCAAGACCGCCGCCACCTAGACCTTGGACGACCCTTCCCGCGATGACAGCAGCCATGTTTTGGGCGAGGGAGAAGGAGAGAGAGCCGGCGGTAAAGAGCAGGAAGGCTACGTAAAGCGGGGGTTTCCGGCCAAAGACGTCGGAAATACTCGCAAATAGGGGCAGACTAACAACGAGGCCTAGATAGTAAGCGATTCCGGCCCAAAATGATTCCAACGTAGTGCCATGTAGCTCTTCCGCGATACCCTAAGTGATGTCAGTACTGTCAGTACGGTTATCCCCAACTTGATTCTCATAGAGCCAGTCGAGAAATGGAGTAGGTGAGAAAAAGGGGGTAAACCAATTACTTACGGGAATAGCCACTGCCAGAGTAGTCGCATCTAGAGAAAATAGAAAGACGAGGATATTGATAGCCAAGAAGGAGAGATAGAACCCTAAGGGCTTCTTCTGCGTGGTGCCATCACCTACTGCTTCCGCATCGGCGTCGGTGTCGGTGCCGACCTCAACGGCCTCAGGCTGATCGATCTCGACTAGCCGGTTCTCTGGTTTGTCCGTACTAGTACCCGAGATTTTAGGTTCGGTCGTAAAGGACTCTCTCGCGCCGGACTCTGCACTGACGGGCGTCATAGTAAATATCATAAAATTCACCTGATGTTTGCTTGTCTAAGTCAATCCATACGGAAGGCTATAAATGTAAGATATGTCGATTTCCAAGGATTAAATTCTCACGATCTACAAGTCGCGCAATAGATATATCAAACCGCGATAGTTGATTATGCCAAGATAAACATCATTATAAATACCTAGGTAGCTTTCCGTTTATGAGAGGCAAGAGGAATGAGGATACAAAATCAAAAAGGCTGGTTTAGGTACGGATTTGAATCTCATAGGCGGCCTCTAGATCCCAATTGACCGGGTAAAGCGGGAAAAAATTAAGGTTGGTTCGGGTACCTGAATCCACAATACCCCTTGAAGAAGTAGCCTATCATGACAATTGTAGACCTGAAACAGCGGGTTATAATGGGCCTTCAGCCCTACACGGCGCTACTAGTACCAAGACATTTAGCGAAATTAGGTACCTAAGGTAGTGATCGGGTAGTTGTAATAAACATCTCATTTATGTTTAGTGTATTCTAATACAATCTGTCCAGCCTGGTTTATAGCTTATCACTAAGCTATTCAAGATAATGTATTGGATTAATAATTATTTCCCTAGTAACTTGAAAGGAATATAAGGGCTTTGATAATGAAGACTACTTAACCGTTAGGTGCCTTAGGTAGTTATAAGCTAGCACGTTGTAAATTGACTACTAATGTTCAGTACCTACTTAACTTCTACGAGCACACACTATGAGGTAATGAGTATCGATTTACACCTCAAATAGATCGCGATTGAAAAATTTGCCAAATAGCTTATAACCTTGTTTCAAGATGAGAATAGTTACATTAATATTTCTTAGGGACTGTGGAATAGTTACGGAATATTGTTATTACGATGTCAGTTAAGAGTGAACGAAATATCCAAGGTGCGGAAGGCTTGCCAATGAGGCGCAGTGATGGCCCATTAATGCATTCCTTGCTTGTTACTCATGGATGAGGACTAACTAAAAGTATATGGTATGACCTCTTTAACATCGTGGTCTGATAGGGGTGGATGGGAGGGGGAAAAGGACTGAAAAAAACTATTTGGACGTATGGAAATAACGAGGAACAGAACCAAGTAAAACTAAACTTAATCCCCTTTCTTGCCTGTATTTTCCTCCTTTCTAGGACGCATGTGTTCCAATATGGATTTCATATCATCGTTACAGGGACTTGGCGGACCCCTGAAATACACATCATCGACAAAAATCTCAACGACGAGACCAACACTCGATTCTTCGAACTTTTGCCCCCAAGAATCCTCAAATTTCGTACCTTGAATAAGCGATTCGATGGTAGTGGTCACCTTTTGCATCTGGGTTAGGTATTCCTGCGGATACGCATCCCATAGCTCCTTAGGTAGTAGATTTGTTCGCACCGACCCCGGACAGATGGCGTAGGTTCTTATACCGTCTTCTTCATAGAAGACAGGGGCGACCGAGCGCATAAAATTTATTATGCCCGCTTTGGCGGCCGAGTAGAGAGGGGTGATAGATTGAGGATACTGGATGTATATGAGATGCGGGTATTGCCACAAGTATCCCATCAAAAACTTACTATGCCAGCAACACTAGATGTCATAATGAGAACGCAATCCTTGTCGCTGTTCACATTTGCCCTAAAGTAATGTTGAGCAAGGTAACTTGTCTTGGTTACTCCTTTTAGATTGACATCGATAGATAGTTCTTCTGGTTCTGGTGGCGGCGAAGATGGGTTGTGCCTCTCGAAGAACTTCCCCTTTTCCATGACACCTGCATTCGCGAAGACAAAATCGAGTCGACCTTCGGCCTTGAAAACAGCATGGAACGCGGATGATAGCGAATCCCAGGAGGCGACGTCAACTTGGTGGAAAGCGCAGTTGTTTAGACCAAGCTCTAAGGCATCTTCGCCAATTACATTTAAGTCGAAGGCGTGTATTCGCCAACCCTTTTGAGATAAGGATCTAGCAATGGCCAATCCTAAACCTGATGCACCGCCAGTTATGATAGCTACTTTGGAATCTGCCATTACTCACATATGATACCTACGACGGGCAATTGCTTTTAGAATAGTGTGTAATAATATAATTATTCGAAGCTTTTTAGTACCGGCTGCAGTCGTAAGATACCTAGGTTGATTTTATCAGGTAGATAGGGGTTCCCCGCACCGGCATTTCAAGAGGTTCTGTGCTTTTGTGTGCTCACCGCGGCGGCTCCGTTCTTCTGCTAAGAGGTGCACCTCTATGTGGGAATATCAATGATCGGCGTGTCGAATATAGTAGGTTAGAGGAGCCGCATCATGGTTGGTACTGGCACTGAGGTGACGTGTGATATATTCAATGGAGAATAGAGATTAACACGCCGCTAGAGCTGACACTTGTCACGAGCAGCAATGCGATAAATGCGATAAAGTAGTCTGCCACGCTCTCAAAAAACGCGTGGGCATATGATAATACTCTGTGGATATGGTGCTGTCTCTATGACAATATTGCGGTTCTTACTTGATAATATTAAAACAAACTATATCCCTTTCGTCCCGTATCTCATTTGGAGTTAGAAATGACTTGTTATATATTATATATAAAACTAGTAGGTGATGATAGGATGATGACGTTCACAGGGTTTACGATTCGTGATGAGTTGCTCAGTCTGCTAAATTGTCTTCACAAAGTTCATAAAAAGGTACATGAGTCCTAAGGTACGTACCAGTACGTATACCAATCAGTCAATCCAATCAAATACTAGTAAGCTGAGCCAGAGGGTCCAGATTGGTGGAAAGTTCAGCTAGACTGCTGCACATGGTTCACCGCTTTCCATTTTGGGTAGTCGGAATCAACGTGGGTCCTCGCCGCGCGAGTCGCGACGCCAATTTTGAGTGCAGCAGAGCTCGCTAGGTGATGATAGCATAACAGCTTCCAATTCTCTTTTAATTATCTTCTAGTTCTTGCCTTTTTCACTACACACACTCTCTCTCCATGTGCTCAGATTTATGTAACTCTAAGAACCATGGTTAATAAATACTTATTCTAATACCCTTTTTTTTTTCGAGTCTATTGTTTCTTCCTTATTTTCATTTTTTTTTATCTGGCGTGAACTATTACATGTCATGCATGTATAAACCACCTAAACGACTATGCTCTTCTCTGTTTGACTTTGACCCCCGTTACTGTCGTTACTCGAGATAATGGATCGCGGTCGACTGAATTCTCCGGGCGTCTTGGCCGCAAAGCCCAACGGACATACAAACGGTTTCAGTCACGGCGACGGTCGCGTTAGCAAGAACGCGACACAGTCCTTCGGCCATCGACGAGTATCGAAAAACACTAGCAAACCCGAGTCAAAAGAGAACAATATTACATCCGACACCGAAACTAGTACCAGCAGCGGTTCTCGTCATCCGCTATACTCAGCTCCCAAGTATATTCCGAATACTCGCAGATTCAGTCCATCCCCACGTAAAAACTCCGAATCACCGCGCGAGACGCGAATACCTCTCCCCATGAGTACAACACCTTTCACAACTTCGCCTAGCCCCCGAGATAAGCAAGCGAACTCTCAGGGGCAAACCCTCGATATGCGCCAACCCATGAGCCTCAGATCAGCCTTTGCGCTGGCTAAGAAGCAGGAGGTGGATGTCCAGCTCGACGACGATGATACCTTTAGCATTAAACACGCCTTTAATATAGCCAGCGCCGAGATGAACGGACGTATCGACGGCTCCCCTAGTCCTGCTCCACGAAAATCTCAAATAAGGCGTGAATCATACGGCGCACTTCCACGAAAGACAGCGACAAGTAGTCCGAACACCGACCTAGGGCGTCATCTCCAACGGTTTGACCGAAACCACCAACTTAGCACAGGTAACGGGCCACTTAATGGTTTGTTTGGCAAAACTCGAGTAGGGCCCAATGTATCAGAAGCCGGCAACGTCCTCGCTAAGAAAGTAAGCGACGGCAATCTCAGAGGTTCCCCAGCGCGTCGCAGAGAAAGCCAGTGGGATGCTAGGTTAGGAAAGGAAGATCCTGTTAACGCGCCTGTTCCTATCCCGTCAATCGAGTATGAATCTGCTAGCGATGACCGAGCTTCTCCGATCGACGAACTTGTCCCTCGATCACCCGAAAAAAGCTTCAATTGGCATTTAGACGCCGACTTTACGGCCGGAGATCTCCAAGTCTCTGATAGTCCTCGCATCCGGGCCGGTCAGTCTAACGAGCGACCTACCCGACGGTCGCCAAGTGTGACGAGTTCTCCAGTTAGGAGTACACCTAATATGCGTCGCAGCAATAATCGCATCGATCAAATTCGGCAGAAAGAAATTGAGGTTGCGAATGCTGTCTTGCCGGAAGAAGATATATCTTCATCTATGCGAACAAACAGTCGACTCGACGAATTAAGGGCACGAGAAAGAGAAGCGCTATCTAAGCGGGCGATGGCTACGAGTAAGCTTGAAGAAATCCGAATACGGAATTTCGAAGCGCGTTTAGAATCACCGGAGACGGGAAGAAAATCCTACGGAGAAGATTTACGCAGGACTTCGCTCCAGGCTGAAGAAGCCACAAAGACGCCGGATGGCAAACTAGGGTCAGTGGCGAAAGAAGATCAAGTTCTAAACACACCTGTCACCACTTCCCGAAACCCAAGTAATCAGAAATTCAACAAGTCTCCGAAAGAGGCGGGGAAAGAAAATGAAACTAAGGTGGAAGAGGACAGAAAGGATGTCAGACTTCCACGAAATGATTCACAGGACTTGCTTCGGCGTCTCGCGCGAGCAACAAGTGCCAGCCCGCCTGCGGAGAAGACTGAACAACCTGTCATTCCAGACAATCCTCCACTAAACATACTATCTGAGAGTAGGGAAAGCAGTCGCCCACGTCCAACACGAGAGGAGAGGAGATCTAGGAATCTGGAAGTTAAGAGCTCCAGAGAAAGGCCAACAGTTGGATTTACAGGCTTGCCAAGGGATTCGTCTATTGACTCTATTCGAGAAAAAAAGACCAGTCGTTCCGGCTCTGAAATAGATCCCACGGACCGCATTGAAGCCGAGATGAAACTGTTCGCACCGCTTGACAATTACTCCGAGAAGGGCTCCGTCCGAGCGCCGTCGCCCATTCCGCCAGAGCCAATCGATGAAGAGACACCACGCCCAAGCAAGATTGACCCATTGACACAACCAACCCCGCGCGTCACCGGGGCGTATATTGAAACGCCGGCCACCGTTAGAGTTAAGCAAGAGGAACGCTTAGAAAATAAAAAGGTGCTAGGTGGCCCTAATCGACACTTGGATATGGATTCCGAAGTTCGTGCTAGGAGCTCCAGCGACCCCTCGAACGTTAGCCACGTTAAATCTGAGGATGATGATACTCAGGAGCTGAGAAAGGCATCAATACCGCGATCTTCTTCGGTTCCCGCGGCTTCTCGTCGCGCTAGATCTGTTTCCAGACGCCGTCGGCCTCGTCGTCCCCTGATTAATACTGCTAAACCGCCGTCGGTTAAAGATGACATTCGCGCGATACTACGCATGAATCAGATAGACGATTCCACACTTGAAGATTTTGACACGATTCTTGCCGACCAGGAAATTGATGATGAAGAACTCGAGAAAATGGTGAACGACACCATGAACAAGATTGACAATGATCTTGAATTTCCAGAACTCTCGGAACGGGATCGCGAGCTTCAGGTTTACGATAGGATGAGCAAGTCGCTGAAGACTGGTCTTCTAGGCATTCGATCCGCGAAGAAAGGGATCGAACGCCTAGAAGATAGGGTTATGCATACCGAGCACAAGAAAGGTTCAGCTCATACCGTTCCAACTGTCTCCATTGCCAAATCCGAAACGACTATATCCGTCTCTGACGCTGCCCCCGTTGTACTCTCTATCCCTCCCCTGTACCGAAAATCCCCTAAATTCAGACTCACGAAGTTGGGGGTATTAACACTTGTCGTGCTCATATGGTACGTTTTCGAGTCAGCTTTCTGTTTCCTATACACGCCTCGTTACGACTGCACACCGGAGTTACCATGTGATTGGTCACCAAACGAGCCATACTTTCCATACGCGATGCCTTTCATGTTAGACGAGTGGGCCACAGGCGGCAAGGGAAGAGCATTGGCATGGAAGGTCGGCGAAGAAGTCGGAGATATGGTTGCCGATGTCTCAGACTGGATTACAAAGACAGATTTTACTCAATTTGACGAGAAATATATGAACGTCTGGGAACGCAAGAGACATAGGAGACGACTACGGAAGCGTGGCTTAGTTCCAAAATGGGTGGCACCTCCTGATTATAAACCCAAATATGCAGAATGGAATGCTGCGCGGTTGGCTAGGGAAGCTGCTGAAGAAGACGGATATGAAGTAGAAGATGAGACCATGAGCGCAGACGAGAGAATTAGGTGAGACATGCCAACAATCACGATAGGCCTTTGGGTCCTAGTGAAGGAATCATCTTGGCGAACATTGCAGTATATAATTTTGGAACAGCAACGGCTACGCTTATTTGAGTGTCAACAGTGTGTAGGGTATCCAGAGTGTAATTTTATTTTGCATTTTCAACTGGTGGACTATTTACGGGGTGTTCACTAGCTTGGGCGTTGTGGTCTCGTCAGAACAAGGACAACAGACAAGGATTACTTGACGCTTGTACCAACTTACTGCACATTGTATTAAAAATTACGTAGGCTACGGTCATAATAATGGAAAAGAGATCTCCCGGCGGTTACGAGGTCTAGTGTATTCTTAGAAGCTGCCGGATTCCCGCATTCCTTGCATCCCTGGGGTCCCTTGACTTCTTCAAGCCCATGATGATCCTCCCATTGCCAAGATTCGTGCTCCCGCCTCGAGCCGCAACGTCAACTCCAGATATTTACCGGTGTCAACTCATACCAGATAGATGTCATATGAACTAACACCACTTACGCAATCAAGCTTATTATATGGGAAGTGACCAAGATCTAGTTATAAAACTAGAGGCTTGGTAAGTTGAGGGCCAACTGACGGGAACCCCGATGACGAAATTGATCTTCTAGTCTATGACGGTTCGATACCAACCTCTTAGTTCACGACAGCCAAAGTTCTGATTGGACAACGAAAACGGACTGAGACAAAGCCATTAGAATGTTCAACTTGATCGCTGCCAACGTCTGATGTCATGACTACCCGTATTGCTGGTATTGTGTAAGATGGCAAAGCTGAAGCGTACTTGCGAAAGCTCTGCAAGATATTGGAGCTATGGCGTAACCTATCCCAAGCTGTATACTATGAGCCGGTCTCTCCATTGAGCTTGCAAGACGTATTTAAGACTCGTGAACCCTCCCGTGTTATTTAAATTGATACCTTTGATATTACAAGTCATTCCAAGGACTTCTCCTTGCAATAAGATACCCTCTAACTATATTCAATACCCAATAGATCGATTCCTAACACGACTCACGCAACTCTCGCAATGACTTCTTACACCACTCCACAAGAATCTGAACCCCATCCACCAGGATCCTTCCCGACAGACGACATGATTTCCACACAGGATTCTAGCTTAGCTTCTTCGGGCTCACATCATCAATACAACAAGCTGCACAAACGAGAAGACCCAAGGGGTTGGAATGAGGACGAGAAGGCAGCGTGGGGACATCAACACACGGACTCGGGTGTTGGTTTAACAGATCCGAGCCTGTCATCAAACTCCCAGACTCGTGACCGAGTGAGCGAAGGAGCTTTCCAATCGAACAATGCTACTCTTCAGAACAATGACGTAGCACCAAGCACTGTTGGTAATACTACAACGAGGTCACCTAACTACCAAGGAAAAGAGGGTAAACCTGGCGTTATGACTGGCGCCTATGGTCATAGCAATGTTGATAGCGGCAGCAACTACTATCCCAAGCCGACCGCGGAGGATACGTCTTCCCAAAATCAAACCAGCGCAAGGGGCGTCGGTGCTGTTGGATCCGCAGCAGGGATAGCTACCGCTACTGAATCAAGAAATACAGAGCTAGGGCAAATACCTGAGGATCGTAACACTATTCGGAATGGCCTACGTCAAACCAGCAATGTCGAGCACGAAGATCCATACTGGGGCGACGCTCCCCACGGTACCGGTGTCTATAACACAGTTACTGGACATGGTAGCTCTGAGACAGCCACCGAAGGCTCCCTTCATTCACAGGGCCCTCTAAGTCACGAGCAGCAGCGTGCATTCCCACTCGCGACTTCTAACGATGCTTCCCGCGACGAGAGTGGCCACCGTAACGGTTCACGGTTTAAGGAGAGCCTAGGCGAATCCACTACAGGCGCAGCTGCAGGACTCCCCGTCTATGAACTTGCTGAAAGGCGACGAGACCATCAACATGAGGACGATCTGAAAGAGCCCGCCTCCCGCAAGCATCATGAAGCAGATACCAAAAAGGAGAGTAAAATTGGTGGCTTATTCTATCGGGATCACAAGGGCGAGAAGGAAACTAAGTCTGAGAAGCTCAACGAACCAGTTCCCAGTAAATACGATAGACCGTTGAGTGAAAGGGACGCTGGTGTAGCCCTCGCCGCCGCTACTGGAGCATATGGTGCGAAGAACCACGCCGACAAGCATGACAAGAAAGCCAGAGAATCCGAGCACGGTATGGCGGACAACAATGCTAACGCACTCTATCAGCATCCTAATGAGAAGATTAGCTCGAAGGATCCTTTTATCGCTTCTGGATACACGAAGCCTAGTAGCCATGGTTCTACAAAGATTACGAACAATGCTTACCCCCCTTCTGAAGATGTAACCACGAGAAATCACCCTTTTACCTCTCAGACTACAGGGAAGCCTAACGAACGAAATGATTCAAAACTTGGCTACGGCCTCGCAGCCGCTGGCGTAGGAGCCGGTGCTGGCTATGCAGCTCGCGAGCATACCCACAGGGATAGCGACAAGAACAAGGTGCATCCTAACCAGCAAGCATTCCACGATTCAACGACGGCGTCAAAGGCAACCACGCATCCATCGGATACAGGTTACATTATCGGAAAGCCTCAACTCGCAGTGCTTTCTGGTACTGGAGAGACCACCGCCCCCTATGAAAAGACGCAGGGTCTGTCGCAGACAAGTTCCAGCGCTAACCGCTCCCTCAATAACCCTAGCCGCCACGGCGAGTATAACGTCCTGCAAGACGGTACTACTTCCGGCGTTAACGTCGGAGATCGTCATTATGGTGACAAGAAGAACGTGGTAGCTTCGTCGTCGCAGAATGCTACACGCGACGCCGTGACGAAGGATAACCATACTGGTGCTAAGGCGGCGGTAGCTGGTGCTGGTCTTGCTGGCGCGGGCGCTGCGGCTCACTACACTGGCAATCGTAATAGCAACACTTCATCCGCACCGTATGAGGTCTCCGGCGCCAACGGTCGTGCACCCGCGGACTCTACTCAAGGCAGTACTTACAAAAGCCTATCAACCGGCACTCCCTCCGGTATAAATGTCGACGACGGCCAACAATATGACAAGCACAATATCGCTACATCATCTCCTACTAGTGCCACACGAGGCACTGTAGATAACAACAACAACAACAACAACAACAACCACAGCCGTGCCAAAGCTGCTGCCGGTGCTGCCGGTGTAGTCGGTGCTGGAGCCGCTGCAAAGCACCACTCCCGGCGAGCCACCAACGATACCACCGCCTTTCCATCTACCACATCTCGCGAGCACCAATCTCCCACTACCAGCTCCAGCAACCGTGCGTCGACCGACTCCAGCCACGGCGGACAGTACAATGTCCTCCCATCCGGCACACCTTCAGGCATCAACATCAGCGAGCGCGACGACCTCGGCCGCAAGAGCCTAGAAAACGCTGCTAGCAAGGCCAAGACACCCGCAACCGCAGCTCATCCCACTGCTACGAGTGCAATTCCCGCTTCGAAGAAGAACGTCGCTGGTACGTCGGCAGCTGTCCCCGCAGGTCTAAACCCCGCAGACAAGGTGCTGCACCGGTGCAGGAAGTGTGGCGAGGAGAATGATATTACGGGGTACTTCCGCGTATGAGATAGTTAATTGTGAGGGAGAATGATGGATATGAATAATGAGAGAGTACCTAATGCTACTACTACTACTGGGACTGAGACTTGGGTTAGGAAATGAATTGGATAAGACACTGGTCGGAATTGGAAACGATGGGTATGTAATTATGTAGGCACGAGGTTTAGCTATGACGAGAATACGAAAGTAATAATTATATGATATACTGAGATTACTGTTAGTTTTTGTCTAGTGAATCAGCGATGTTTTCTTGCAATGTTGTTTTCAGGATGAAGGGATTTATATACCCTCTCTGATATTAGTATCAAAAAAAATCGTCGAATTGATGTTACTATATAAACGTAGTATACATTTAAATCAAGTGAACACTACATATATATACATACCAAGTCGTGAATACTAGATTGTCGCTGATCAGTCTGTTCCATATCGCAGTATATATACTTGTGCCTAATTGATATGTCTACTACGTATAGTATAATATATCGGTGATATATATATGAGATTCCAACGATCCTATCTCTGATTAAACCAACGTTCGATGAGGTGCCCCCCACTGCTAAAGTGACACGATAGTTGCTTGAATTCGTTGGTGTCGAAGAAGATAGCGAGATCCACAACTACGAAAAAAAAATCACCCAAAAATACTCCAGACTCCACTTGGCGTAGTGGAGTTGTAAAAAATTGCAAAAGTGAATGCATGAACGGGGAGTCGAACCCCGAGCTCAACCTTGCATTGGAAGATGGAAGGGTTGAATGTTACCGCTACACCATTCATGCTTATAATTACAGTCTCATATTCAACATTATATTACCCAGTCCCTAGTTAGTCAAGCTACCACTCAGCATACCATACCATAGCATAGCATAGCACAGAAGAAAAGCACAGCTTCCAGATTGACTTTGATTTTCAGTTACAATCGTACTCTTTTCTTTAAGGCCTATTATTTGGATAGTTTATTCATTATTTCCAATATATCTAATGGGAAACTCGTCACTGGTCCTTCAAAACGTGTGGAATAAAGGAGTTATGTGAATGTGAACTAGTAATTAATCCTATGTTAGAAGGCAACTCCTAAATCTTTACACGGCGAAGTTGTTATTTACCAGCCCTTGCTCGCATTGTAGAAGTATCAAAAGTACAACTGCACGTAAATAATTAGCAGAGTTGAGATATCAAACTGGCGTGAGAATCACGCAAACGTGAGGACATGATAAATCCAAATCGCCAGGGACAACATCGCTAGGGGCGACAGAAGTTTAGTAATAATACTGGCTGATGATTTCAGCTGATGATTTCACTTCTGGCAAGATCTCAGGTTCACCTTCTTTCATCGAAGCCTAATCCAAAGGTCGACCAAACAACACCGCAGTGAATGAACAGTGACTTCTGCACTCACAGGCAACCCTCGGCCTGTGTCGACTATCACGTCTCCCCCTTTATCATATCTCTGTCATAAGAAAGCCGAGAACCGCCCCATTGGCGATCCAAGCCATGGACCAAGATCAAGATCAGCAGCTCGACGTGACGGTTGACCAGGAGGAGCTTCGTGAATGGTCGCCGCCTCTTACTGATTCTGGTTTCAATCTCACTACCCACGGCCTTGAATGCATCCCACAGGAACTCCTTGACGTTGAGTGCTCAAAGCTCTATATTGAGTTTTTGCTACAGTTCATGGAGCCGGCAACAGAAGGCCCAGACTCGGACAACATAGCGGTTACTACACATACCGTTTTGAAGGCCGACTTCGTGACTCCTCATGACCAGTACAAAGGCGTTCGAATTGCCATGAACCTGGACACGCGAGACTTTTATCCAGAATTGGGAGTGTTGGGCGTACAGTTTCGCACATACTCGGGAAAGACTACATCGTCGATACGTACTTTTGTCTTTCCTCTCCACGGCTCCGTGAAAGTTGGTCAGATACTCGAGGCGATTACTAGCAAAAGGATGCAGCATTTCTCGTTTGATTATGACGCCAATGACAAGACCTGTGGATGCACTGACTTCGTGTAAGTTCAACTCTCTACAGCGCTACAAGCATCGGTCTTTAAATACTAACAAAATTTCTTCCTAGTACCCAAGCTTTCTACCAACTCCAAGTCCGAGGCTATGTTAGTCCTCAAGTCGAAAGCATCCTTCCGGAGGAGCCTCAGATGCCTAGCGGGTTGACTGCCTATGATATTCTATCTATGGCATTCAATCGTCAAAGAGGACATATCGAACGTTCTATCGGCAGAGGTAAATTCTTGTGTTACACGCGTGTTGAAGAACCCTACATGGGATATGATGATGATACAGCCTCGATGGAGGTTGACTGAGATCACCTGGTTCCCTTTTCTTGGTTTGTTCTTTCTGGTTGCTTTTGAAAAATTCTCGATAATACCCAAGGGCGTGAATTAGGATGCGTGAATAGGGACAAGGAGAATACCCATACAGGCGGAACTGTATTTAATCATGATTCATGGAGTAGGCTGTAAGTTCGTTGGAAGGTTGTTTGAAGCTGGTCTCAAGTAGTCATAATAGTCTACAGACCAGGCTATAATCATAGTTCTCGTTTCGAGTTCCGCTTTGCAGATGCTGGGAGCATGAAATCGCATATTTGAAGGGTTGTCATAGCTTAATTCTAGTCCTTCTGTTATTCTTATAGTTGAATAAACCGAGGAAAACCTACCTCTTGCGTTCCTCCAATATAATTGCTTGTTTATAATGCTTTCGTCTACGGGATCTGCGTAAATTGCGATCGATACTAGCGTAGCCTTCGCACCAATTAGTGGTGGTTTAATACTGCTACCTAGAGGTTCCCCTATCCACCAAAAGATACATTTTTTTATCTCAATTATTGCTGATGGGCTTTTCAAGGATGACACATCATTAGAATTAGAACCACTATGCTAGTACTATGTAGTTATGTAGGTATTTTGTAAAGGTGCAAAAGTGCAGAGGCGTCTCGTTTTGTTTCATATGGACCAAACTATTAATGTGTTCCTGACGATTTGCTATATTTAGCTCGGCTACGTCAGGAGGGTAGTATTGAAGACCTAGCCCTGTGAAACGAACGATAATAATACCTACAAGGTGTCTAGGTACTTGGATATTCTTTCAAATCTTAAATATACCTAATTATGTAGTTGGTCCAAATTATACAAAGGTAATCCATGATATAGCCTTTAGACTCTTCTGATAGTACCGTCGCCAATTTCTTTTTCTTTTTTTCTTTTGGTGAGAAGCTCACGCCAAGATCAGCAGATCTACGGTCGAACCTCTGCTCTATGAGAATGGGGGTATTGCCCCGTAGGATTCACTCGCATTCGCCCGGGTAGGGGTCCAGGGTAGGGATTAAACCCATGTCTAAGTTCTGCCTTACGCCGCTAATTTAACCCTGGTTTTGGGGGCTGAATAGGGACTTTTTTCTGTTTTTGTAGCAGACGAGCGGGCGCAGCAAGCGGTCAAGCAACTTATTTTTCTTAGCCCACAACGCTGATTCGACAGAGCCTGACGATTAGCACAGATTTTATCGTCATGTCCGTGCTCTCGATTCCTACTAAGAGGGGATTTCCATTCTCAGCCAAAAGCTCGGCGGACCATGTTACGCTTATGGCGTTGCTGGCGGAGTAGGTATGCACAACTCGTTCAGCCGCAGTTTAGTGTGATGTGATGGGTGTTTCGTCAGGAGATGAATCCTTCATTACCTAGATAGTGTCTAGGCTGCAAGGGTTCATTCGATAGTCTAGAGCGTTGCCTACCTATTTACCTATTTATTAATCTAAAGCAGCTTCGCTAAAGATTCACAAAGGTTTGGTCTTTTATTTCTTTTAATAATTCCTCCATCTTTCTCCTGGCCAGTCGATATTCGATTACCATTCCTGTAATCAGTGTAAGACAAACGCAGATAAAGAAGCAAATCGGTTCAACATTGTCCCTATTATAACCTTCGACGAGTCGGTCCATTTGCGAATATCACGATAATGGACAGCCAAGAGAAATACGTCTACACTGGACCTGAGTATCCCCAAGGCAGCAATCCTCAATACCAAATGCAACCTCATCCACAAGGCCACCCACAAGCACACCCGCAAGCCCATCCGCAGGTAGGAGCCTATGTGCACCCTCACGAGCCCCAGCAACCGCAAGCGATCCCCCGGGAAGCCTACGGCCAGCAAGGTGGTGAATGGCAAGCGAGTCTATGCGATTGCTCGCCATGCTCGAGCTGCCTGCTAGCCTGGTGTCTACCATGTCTCCGTAAGTGCCTCGATCTTATTCCACTACAGGATATAAGTCGATTAGGAGGTAGCTAACATGATCTCTTTTTCCTTCGTAGTGCTCGGTCAAACCTCCGAGCGGATTCGGGATCCCTCGATGCAGACAGCCGACATGATGAACAGCGATTGCATGATCCACGGCCTTATCACATGCTTCACCGGCTGCGGCTGGATGTACGTTTTCCCCTCTAATTGTTTTAGGTTGATCCCAGTGTTGATCGTTATTTCAGCTACGGCATGCTCAAGCGAACCGAGATCCGTGAACGCTACAACATCAAGGGAAGCGGATGCGACGACTGCTGTGTATCATTCTGGTGCTCATGCTGCGCTCTCATCCAACAGGATAACGAAGTCAAGATTCGCCAACAAAATGCCCAGCCTATTGCTCAAGGCTACCAGCCGCAACCAGGCATGCAAATGCCAGCGCCCGCCCACGCGCCGCAACACTGATCCTTCGGCACGAGATCTTTGATTCTTAATTCGAAATCACCAATCTGACTGAAATATAATGATTTCTGTAGATGTTTGTAAATTTAAAGGGCGATTGGAAATTACTTCGACCCGGGTTGGACATGGTTATGAACGAACTCTTAGGGGTGTGGGCAAAGATGCATGTCGGATTTAATGACAGCATGTGCTATTGAGATATGTAGGTGGAATGTATTTAACAGAGGTATACCCAGGATGGAAAGGACTGAAATATTAACTTGGAACGAGTTTATACGCGGAACTGTAGTTTGTCTAAATATAAGAACCGCACAGATGGAATCGCGACCGTTCTAGATGTCTTTTATGGCGTGTTTATAGTTTTCAAACATAATCGCACTTCGTTGGATTTCAATTCAACCCGTACTCTGCCCTCTAAGGCCAAGTGCTAAGTATATCGTCGTATAAAACTATCAACTTCGTTGTCTAAGTCGATGAGACCGACTCCTGCCAAAATAAAGCCCCAATCACCATAAGGGTATCCATGCCTAATGTCACAAGGCGCCTATCCTACACGTTGAATTCACTCGGATCTAATGTCGTACGGACTGAAGACCGCCGATCGTCCTAAAGCTCTATCTACTCTATCCATCTCCATGAATAGTGCCTTGATCCTTCAGGTCGAGTTTCCCATTTCGTGGCTTCATATATATTTCGGTCCTGAATTTTGTAACCGTGAATAACCTCAGCCATGAGCGGGGTCTCTAAATGGGCGATGAATTGTGCTTTCTCGCCCTCCGTGAAGTCGATCCAGCTTTCGCCTTCTCCATTTTCACGTAATATTTTAGTAGCACCTATATCCGACGGAGTAGTGCCTACGGTGCCGCGCCAACGTGTATAGTATCTGGTACATCCCTCGGGAACCGCTGGTATATCTGACCGCATGCGCTTGGGGATTTGGGAGCTTCCATCGATTCTACCCTGTTCTACACTTTCATTCTGCCCCCTCTTCCTCTTTGAACCTGGTTGAGATCCGCTCGAACTCGCATTATTGCTTTCGACCGCCGGTGCTGGCACTTTGCGCAATGGTTCGACTAAACGAATGTACCTATCAATGTCGCCGTCATTTTGTGCAAGGATTATTACGCCTTCTGCAGCAGGCATGAAGTTAAAAGTCGCCTCGAATACATCGTTCAGCATGGTCTTCCTGATCTCTACCCAACTACTGCCAGCTTCGCGTTGAACTCCTAGAAGGGTAGCCTCAACTACGTAGGAGCCTTCGAGTCCGCGGTTGCGTACAACATTAGCCACGTACTCTCGGTGAGGTTGTAACCGCGACGCAGCCTTCTTCTCGAGCTTTTTCTCGTGCGCGAGAATGGTATGCTGCTTTTTCAATTGACGCCGCACGGCAGCGTTTTCTTTGGCCAGCGTTGCATACTCCTTGCACGCCTGCTTGACGTCCTTCTTGTCCCATCCAACCCAGAGCATCTTCTGAAAATCATTACCTACCTTTTGACAGTATAGTCCCTTAATTTGCTCTATAGCTGTCATAACGACGTCGAAGTTGATCCCGCGGAAAGGCATGGGATCTGGAAGAATATCTGGATCGCTGTAATAAGTTTCCAAGAACATGTCGATGTCAAAGTTAAGCTTTTCCTCCAAGGTAGCTAAATTATCAAAGTCTGCTTGTCGACGGCCGGAGAAACATGACTCTTTGTAGGCTGAGGATTGTGCTTCCCAGTCCGCCTTCATCTTCTCAAACTGACCTGGCATAAATGACTGATATTGTCTCCTGATATCGCCGAACTGAGATCTTTTGGTTAGTAGAGCTACCATGTTAATGTTTAGCAGTATATATGTATCAACGCACATCAGGTTTGAGAGATTCCCTGCGGAAGAGTTCTCGTAACTCATCCTTTGAATAGCTGTCCACGGGTCCTAGCACCACGCCATAGTGTCGGCTCTGAGCTTCGAGCCAAGGTTTCGTCACTACTCGGAACGTCTCTGTACGCCATTCGCGAAGTTGGTCTTCATCGGCACCCTCCGGCTCGAAGAGGAGTCGCTTTATCTCTGGAGGCTCCACACGAGGTATGCCTTTCACGGTAAGCCTACCATTATACTTGAAGCCTTGACCGAACACCGGCTGGGGTTTTGGAGCTAAAGGTTCGTACTCCATCTTTGGTGATAGTATATTGAGTAAGAAATGGTTGAATCCCGACCCGGTTGGTATATCTTAAAAGCACTTTACGCTGTAGGTCATACGCTATTTTTAGGTACTCATATGCAGGTATGGATGGTGAAGTGGAAGCCGATAGTTGACGACGAAGAGATCAAAGTTCCATTAAAACAATGTTGCGATTTGTACAATTAGGTTAGGTACTGTAGGTTAGGTACTGTAGGTTAGGTACTGTAGGTTATCCGACTGCCCGGTCGCCTAGATACATGCACAAACCCCTGTCCAGGGGCAGAAGTGGAAATAAAATATGCGGGGCTCGGTACCCGGGGAGCTTAGTAAGAATTATGGTACCCCACCGGCCCCTTTTATATTACATATGTACGAAGTACCTAGGTACCCTTACCCTTTTAACTGATGGTGTATTGGAAGTTCTAAATGCCTTCTTTATTTAAAGCAAGTACCTAAAGTATAAGTTGAAGCAGAGTGGTATAGGTTTCATCTTAAAACTACCTACTAATACAGGCTATAATAGATTAACATCATAAGGTATGCACTTGCATGGCAAGTAAGAAATAACGGGCATTTCCAACAACAAATGCGTTGCCCCTTAATCACATGTAGGTATTACCAGTTTTGCTTAACCATTCTTTTTTCCAGAGCCAGAAATATCCGATGGCGCGCGATGCCGACGTCTGAGGTTCGGGTATATAACAACCACCACAAATACCCAGCGGCGTAACTAATCCTTGCCATTCGATCGTAATTGATGAGTATTGCATCCGTAAACGAACGGTGCACGCCACGGGAGAAGCATTCACTTCGCCGTGCAAAGAAAATGGTCCGATATCATCTATCCCAGATGCCTCCAGTGAGTATGTATCGCCGTCGATGTTGGTCTTGTAAAAGGATATTATAATGGGAGGACCGACTCGAGCTCCCGGCAGTAGGGTGTATACGAAGGTTCCACACCAGTCTCCTTCGACTTCCCTTGCCAGGTCGCGCACTCGTGTGGTATACCATGACCACCATCCATCACCGGCGAAGGGGTAGAAGTAGCGACCTTTTTTTCCTCCAACAGAGATAAGACTAGGCGTAGGAAGTGGGAATCGTGCTCGTAGAGACGTAGCTCCCATCCATGTACCATGTTCGGCGTCTTCTTCTTGGCTGCTTTCGAAATACCAGGAACCAAAGAATTCAATGTTCCTTGGATTTGGGAGCTCTATCAACATTTGGGTACCTTAGGTTAACGATCCAGCCAGTTTCTAGCATATATAAGATACTGAGTTCCTCACCTTTTGATGTATAGTAAATGTTTCGCGCAACGAGTTCTATTAGAAGAAGCGCATGTGTCTGCCTACCTATCCACGAGTTCTGGAATTTGTCGTATCCTTGATCTAGCGTATTGCCGTCGTAGATTTTCTTGATAATGGTGAGGTAACTGTTCGTTGCTGGAAGCTCGATAGTTAAACGGTGCGCTTTGGATTGGCACCACGTTTCGAGTTTACTTAAAACCAAGCAGAAAGCGAACTGTAGGGGATTCTCGCCGCCAATACACTGATCAATTCTGATAGTATTTAAGTCTCCGGACAGAGAAAAGAGACTGGGACATAATTTGTCAAGTATAGCAGAGACACCAGAATTGCAGGCCGTTGTGTCTATGCAAGCCATCAGTCAAACTATCCTAAAGAGACAGCAGGGCTATAACACGAATATAATACTCACACCCCCAGATAGGTAACGTAGAAAGTAAAGCTATTAGACCTTGGAGAGATGCTTTCGTGTCTTCGCTTAGTTGCGGCGGTCTTCTCATAGTTAGCGTGAGATTCCCGCGAATCTTAACAGTCGATGCTATTGGCCCTGCTAATCTTTCCAAATCTGCCTCGACACCTGGAAGCCGGGCTATAGCCATGGCGAGACAAAGCCATGTCATCTTTGGACCTTCATTGCGCTGACAAGGCTTGTTGGGACCATCAACATAGCCATCCATAAAACGCACCAGTGCGGCCTTATTCCCGAAAGTAGCGGAGGTAAGTTCGGGAAGCTAGTATGATGGAATCAGTTCTAGACCTTAGGGTTATTGGGTAATGTACGTTGAAGTAATAATACATAAAGCTGGAACGACATTCGGAAGACGGCAGCATTGTTACATGCGTCGTGAAGAATTCGACACGTCCGACTGAGCGCTAGAATGTCTAGGGCCGTGCATCTTCCAGCGATAAGCTGAAGTAACTCCGTAGGGAGGTCTGTGATAGACGGCATTGTAAGTTGAGTAGGTCTTCGACATAAGAATAAATGTTAGAAAGCGGAATGTCGTCAAGGAATAACATAAAACTAAGCGCGGGAATCTCCGGAGTTCGAGGTTAAAATACATTAGACATCTCAGCTAAGAATATCATAGGCATCCATTTAAATTTACGATTCGCTCTGTAACATCGCGCCTCTTTCTGCCCCGCCATCAAGCTTCAAGTCATATGGATGTAACATCAGCATCCGTACAGATTCAATATATCGTGAAAGATCCAGAACATGTAACTAGCGACAATATAAAAACTCAGTATGTTAAGAATTGATTTGAATTTGCGGTGATGTTTAATACGTACCTAGGTACTTAGCAGGATTGTCTGTATTTAGGATACCTGACCTATTATATTAAAAGATGAGCTGACTAAAGTACTTCTTATGATCGAATGATCTCATGATGAGATTGAATTAGCGGGTCTGCTCAGACACCGCTCAGGTACGGATCCGTAAATTTGTAGGATTCGCCATTCTCATGAGATTCACTACCTACATGATTTTGTTATCCTCGCATCTTCTTCTCACTATCCTTACTTGGTTCTCACTTACCCAGCGAACCGCATGGAAAAGTCGATGTCTCCTCAGATATTACTCTCACTTTCCTAAGAATGGCCATCCTATTGAACCTACCTAATGAGATTCTCATCTCGATTCTTGATGCCCTCGCTGATGTCGATCTTCAGTCGTTAATCATCTTACAACTTATGAACCGCCGGCTTTATAGGCTTGCGAAGGATATCTTATACGACGTTGAGAGTATCTCGAGCACTGACGACGCGAGCGACGATGAGGGAACGCGAATACATCCTCTTTGGAGAACAAAATTTAAAGGCCTATTCGATACGTCAGATTGCTTTACGGACGAGGAGAAGACGAGAACGGCATTTCTAACGCTCAACGGCGATTACACACTCCCCTTCCGCAGGCTCCCATGGGCACAAACGGAAAGTGAGCGCGACGCGTATCGCCGCCCAGGAGCGAGCTGGCGCGAAATTAGCCTTACTTTTGGCCGAGCTCCCATAATCCACTTAGACGTAGTCAAGAGTTATTCCGCTGCTGAAGGCGACGCAGTTGACTACTACCAAGTTGATCTGCCACCGTCCGGTATGACAATGGGTCTTTTCTATGATGTTCTCCTATGCGACAAGGCAACATACGGCTATGAGACAGGCAGTTGGGAATTGATGGTCGGCCGAAAATTACACAGTTTTGATGTCTTATTCGAGTACGAATGCTTCATTCCGGATGATAGAGACTTAGTCGACATCGGTAAAGAGGCGCGCCAGGCCGCAGTGTTGTATGTGCGGGGCGGCCCAGTGAGCCGTAAATTCACACCCGAAACCCTGGAGGACAGTTGGGTCGTCAACAGCAATATAGAACGACGACTGCTCCCGTGGCAGGGGCCTATTCAGAATTTCATCTTTACCGGATATTTCGATTAGATGCTTGGGATTGGGACTGTTGAACGCTCGGGGTTCTGACCGCTATTATACCTTTTATCGCAAAGCTAATTACGTCATATTTCGAAGAAGTCTTGGGGATTCGGTAAAGATCTCAGCCCGCCCCTGGACCCGACGGGACAATCTCACCTCCGCACTTCAGACGTTTCTCAGTCACAAACGAGTTTATTTCTAAACAATGTATGATCTTCGTTACACAAGGAAACATTCGGACCAATCAAAAGTTTTCATCGTAAGACTACACTTCCGCATTTGAGATATTGATTCCTAATCGTGTAGATATATAAGCATCCAATTAGTAATGATGAGAGTTATTTCCTTATGTACTTATTAGCGACCAATTGCAACCCCCTTTTATATCGTATGAGGCTTGAGGTGGTATCTTGGCAGATCTACATTGATGTTATTACGCGTCTAGAGACACGATTGGTATAGAGCTGCAGACCAACTATTCTAACCTAGATTTCTACGTATTTCTAGATGAATTGGTTGGCATACAACATAAGTATAGTGGGGCTTAAATATTCAAGGCTATACATTAGTAACGGACAATGTTACAGAAGTGATGGAATGGGAAAAGACTACCGTCACCGCCTTCTTTCCGCTGTGCTTCGGACCTGTCCAGAACAAGTGACACGTTTCAGCCCCGTGTAAATACTGATATACTGACTAATACAAAATCCACCTTAAAGCTAGGTAATTCTAGACCTGTTCCTGAAGCTTCTATAGTGTACATCGAAATGTATAAATAATGGGTACCTTTCGGGCTTAAAACGTAATAAGAGGGGTTGTCTTTCATCTGTTCCTACTTCAATTACAACATTTAGACCATCGATTGCAACATCGCAAATAGTCTTTTCACCTACCATAACTCCCAAAACACCATACTTCATATTCACTCAGCAATCCAATCATGGCACCTTTTGGCAAGATTTACTCCTACCCAGGAAACTTCCGTGTCGAACGAGTAAGGTTTTCTTTATTTTATTTTTTTAATACCTAATTTATAGTCATTAACCCTAACTTCTTTCGCAGGCTCAAGTCGTAGCTGCTTACAATGGCCTCGAAGTGCCCTTAGCTGAGGACTTCAAGATGGGTGTGGACAACAAGTCCCCCGAATTTCTGGCCAAGTTTCCCATGGGCAAGGTCCCTGCTCTAGAGTGTGCCGACGGCTTCTGCGTCGCCGAGGGCGGTGCCATCTGCTACTATCTTGCGCGTTCGGGACCCAAGAAGGATCAACTACTCGGCACTGATCCTAAGACCCAAGCTAAAATCGACGAGTGGGTTTTCTTAGGCGAGACCGAGCTTATTCAAAACGTCCTCCCGCCTACAGCCATGGTGATTTACAACGGGTTCCCGAAGGACAATGAGCGCTACGACAAATGTGTAGCGGCCACCGAGCGCGCTCTAAAGCGTATCGAAACCGCTCTCCAAGGCGGCCAGAAGTACCTTGTCGGTGACAGCGTCACTCTTGCCGATATCATGGTAGCAGGCTGTGTATTCTTCGCCACTAAGGTCATTATCGACGCCGAGATACGCAAGGAAATTCCAAACGTCGTCGCTTGGGCGCAGCGACTAGCAGCTCTCCCCGAGTTCAAGGCCTTGGGCGAGTTTAACTTGCTGGAGACTCGCATTAAGCCATGAAGGACTTGTTAAGATAGCGGGGAGCATCTCCACTGCTACCTTAGGTTAGGAGGTACCTATGAAGGCAAACTATGGGCATCACGAAAAGCTTTAGGAGGCACTAAAATATCAATAAAGATGAACTCGAGCCAAGTTCAAAGGTCTGGTAGTATCGCAGCATAGCATATCTATGTCTATTGCTCGGATTATAACTTGGGGGTGGAAGGGATCGGTAAATCAAGATAGTTTCAAATCATCCTACGAATGCAATTATTTCGGCCCATAATTCTTTCTTAGACCATTTCGGTCCTTGCTAAACTTTTCGTGCCTCATATATGAATTATTTACCCCAGATAGGTGGTCCGAATAGACAACTAGGTAATCATAAGTGTAAACTACATAACTATTAGAAGAAGAATACGTTTACATACGACTCTAAGCTGACGATTGAATATCAATTCCCCAAAGGAAAAGGGGCCCACCCAACCTCAAGCCCTTAACAATACCGCGTATTTATACGAATACAACTAACAAAAATAACAACTGCGGGGACGCTAGTTATTCATAAGGTGTATATAAAGATTGATGCTTCTCATCATTGCGCTTCACCATCTGAGCTCAAAAATTCACGCCCTTTTATATACCATTTGCCGTTCCAGTCAAGTATAAGCGAATCAGCAAGACACAGACCCACCGGGATGATGACGACAGTAGGAAGATGCTACACAGCGAGAATATCAGTCAGATGCGCCCTCCCGACTACAAGCCGCCGGTCTCCGGTCCCGGAAAGTATTTTACGGTCCGGACCCACGACTTCTCAGAGACGGTTTATATTTTCCAACCCTACGAAGTTTTCACGTATATCTCAAACTAGGGAGTTTTCTAATATCCGAAAAGACAACCCGGCAGGCATAAATACAACCCTACCAAGCAGCAATCGGCAAAACCTGCAGAGTGACATGGCACAAAACACAAACACTCACCACATCGTTGTCGCTCTAGAAGCGTCAATCGTTCCAGTTCCGCCTCTGGACCTCCCCGCGCCACATACATACGAGCTCCGGGAGTACGGAAGAACCCGCCCCGAGGAGATAGCCGAGAGGGTAAAAGATGCCGACATAATCATCCTAATTATTGCTCGGATCAACGCCGACATCCTGCGGCCCGAGATGACCCCTCGCCTGAAAATGATATCTGTGGTAGCATCCGGGACCGACTGCGTGGATCTAGCAGCGTGCAGGGCCCGGGGGATCGTCGTGGGCAACACGCCGCATTGCAACACTGTTTCCGTCGCCGATCATGCCGTTGCGCTGTGCTTCGCGACGCGGAGATCAGTAGCGCTTATACACACGATGGTACAGTCGGGTGAATGGAGAAAGGAGATGTTGCATAAGACTCTCAATGGTCCGGATGGCAGGGCCCCAAGGACCTGTCGGGACGAAACCCTTGGGATCATTGGTTATGGTGCCGTGGGAAAGATACTCGAGTCTACTGCTAAAGGATTAGGTATGAAGGTCTTGATATCTGGACGCAAAGGTGATTCGACAGCGCCGGAAGGCCGCACTCCATTCGACACGCTGATCCGCGAGAGCTCGGTTATTGTGTTATGTCTGCCGCGGTCTCCGGATACGATGAACCTAATCTCCAACGCCGAACTAGACGCTATGAAGCCCTATGCGGTTATAGTCAACGTTTCTCGAGGGGGTATCGTGGATGAGAAGGCACTCGTGGCGGCCCTGAAGTCGAGAAAAATCGCTGGTTATGGTACAGATGTCTATGAGCAGGAACCTGCAAATCCTGATAGCAGCCCTCTGGTGGGACCTGATGTGGCTGGCCTTAATATAGTTACTACGCCGCACGTTGCTTGGTGCGCGGGCGACACTATCGCGAATTACAATAGAGCGACAAAAGAAAATATTGCTGGATGGCTGACTACTGGGCAGCCAAAGTATTCGGTGGTATAAGGAGTGTGGGTTATTAGATAGATGTTTAGGATACCATATTGCATTGCATCATAGATACCTAGAATACAGAAATAAATGGTTAGGTGGTGTACATATATACTTGTTATATTGGTGCAAACGACGGGTTGCCTAGTTGTGCATGAGGATTGTGATGATAGTAAATAAATAAAAACAGAAGGCTGCAGGGCAACCTAGAAAAAGGTACCTAAGAAAGTATTCCTTATAAGTCATAATAAAATAGCAAACCGTCACCCAGAATGGAACGTCCCAGTGGAGGCTGCGGCCTGAGAAGCTGGTGCCACCCCATGACTTGATGGTTAGAAAAACCCAAAGGGGCTTTTCGTAAGGAGAGTTTAAGAAGTCACGCCTCCCCAGCTTTTTTGCCAGTTACCTCAAGGTCCACGGTTCAAGTTACTGCATTTTGTCTTTTTTTTGTTCCCCAGGTACCCTTTTAAGACGGCATGGCCCGTGATATCTACGTAGTTTGCTACAGTGACAGCTGCCATATTTTCTACCTAGGATAGGCAGCTAACTGAGAAGCAAGTATATTCCACGTATCTATCTGCCTAACGATACTACTTTGTTTGACTCCTTCTTTTGACTCAGTTCCTTAATCAGCTGTCTTAGGTACTTTGGTGGTTATGAAGCTGCAATAACTTTTAACTCTACCTAAGTAGAATTCTAGGATTAAAATTGAAAATATCATTACTTCAACCTACAAGGGGAAATAATGATTATTAACCTTCATACAGCTGCTGTAAATAACGTCGTGATATCTGCCTAAGATATTTCACTTATGAAGATGAATATCAGTGGAAGTAAAAAGTCGGAACACAACCTCAAATACAACTTGATTATTCCTCCTATTTATCTCTTTGGTTTACGTTAAATTCTGCCGCTCTTACCCCTATAGTTTCACTTAATCACGACCACTAGAGTTGCCTTTCCTCATAATATCTTAACTACTTAAATTAACTACTTATGAGTTAGCACAGCTGGGAATAGACTTTACAGAGTCGATATATACGAAGAGGTAATTATTGGCCCAGTTGCTTGAATAAGACACACCTTTGCATTGAGGAGTATGTATTGAATCTCTGCCGGTATCTGTAGTAATCTATTCAAAATCATCTACGAACGTGATCATACCTATCTATAAAATCCGTGGTTATGTTATATTTAGTGTTGTACGGAGAGTTTCTGAGGTAATATCTCATGACAACATTAATCATGAGCTTTAGGTTCTCGTCAGCGACTAATATGGTTTATCTTCCTATGCTAGATCTTTTGTGACCTCACGAGATGAGAACGGTAGAGGGGTGGTGAACTATATATAGAATAAAGTTATGTAGGTCTATGTATGGGTTCTGAACTTGAGGTTATGATCACTTACACTTTGGAGACAAGCAATGGGAAATTTATGTGATAATTTCCTTCATGCTCTCTTTATTTGTCCTTCTCGCCTTAATCTCTTCATCCTTTTCTTAACCTACCTACGTATGTCTTCGGAAGAAAACCCTCTTGGCGCTGAAGCTAATGCTCTGTAGAATAGGCAATGCCAAAGTTATCTAATATGCCAAGTAAACGATACCCGGGTTCGACCCGCTCAGCCCCAGCCATAGTTTGGTAATGGGACGGTAATTTCCACACACCTTACCCGAATCGGATGATGCCCGGGGAAGCAGAAGGTTTGAATACGAGCACATTGCTTTCTTCCCCTGATTTTGGTGGATAGGGGTGACTGCCGAGAAAAAAGGAAAAAAATAATAAAGGCCCAGCCAGCGCGTGGCCTAATTTACTAATATGCTTTTCATCACTCGGTTCTGAGCAATCCATCTGACAAGTCAAGATGCCGCGCTTAGCAAGATTGGCTTTGGCCATTTTCGGACTCGCCGTTCCAGCGCTCGCTAAGAAAGTCGACATCTTGAGCCTGCAGGATGGCGACGAAGTGCCCGGCAGATACATCGTGAGCCTCAAGCCCGACATAGATATTGGGGTCCACTTGGATTGGGTGCTCAACGTGCGCAAACGGAGCCTCTCCCCTTGCAGTACTAACGGTCCCGAGAAGACGTATGGGTTTAAGGGCTTCAACGGGTACGCGGGCGAATTCGACGAAAAGACTATCGCGCAGATCATGGCCAATGAGAATGTAACGCTCGGTTCCCAATCCTATTGTAATGCGCAACTGCTAACGATCCTAGGTCCTGGCCGTAGAACCCGACAGAGTCGCGCGTCTGACGTCCGTAACGCAGCAGACCAATGCGCCGTGGGGTATTGCAAGTTTATCTTCGCGATCGCAACTTGCCAATGACAACTCGCGGGGCCACACGTATTCTTATAGTGACTGCGCAGGGACTGGGACGTATGCCTACGTGCTAGACTCCGGAGTCCTAACCAACAACAGCGAGTTCGGGGGCCGCGCCATTAAAGGCTATAACACATATGCAGGCACCGAGTCCTTCGACGACCACTTCGGCCACGGAACCCATGTTGCAGGAACCGTCGCATCTGCCACCTATGGCGTGGCAAAGAATGCGACTGTTGTAGACGTTAAGGTTGTTAGAGGGCCGGTGAGTTGAATCTGTGCTTGGCTATGTTAGTTATTACATTCTTATGCTAAGTGTGAAATCGTAGGGTTATTCGACGACCTCCCACGTTATCGACGGGATAAATTGGGCCGTGAATAACATCACCTCGACGCCGGGACGAGCCAGCAAGTCCGTCATCAACATGAGTCTAGGTATGTAACTTACAATCTCACCCTCCACTCTATCCCCTATCTAACAACCTCCTAGCGTTTACAACCTCATCAGCCCTCAACAACGCCGTCAATGCTGCCTCTCTACTAGGCATACTCTCCGTAGTTAGCGCCGGAAATGACGGTGCCGATGCCTCGACACGTTCTCCCGCCTCAGCCGGGTCCGCCTTAACAGTAGGCGCCGTAGGTTGGGATCGGACCCGAGCTTCATGGAGCAATTTTGGGCGTGACGTCGACATATTCGCTCCCGGAGTCGACGTGCCCTCGCTGTGGAACGTGGAGGGCCTTGAAACCCTCAATTCTGGTACTTCCATGGCGTCGCCGCACGTCGCAGGGCTTGCGTTGTACCTCAAAGCACTCGAAGAGGGTCTAGATTCGCCTGCCAAGACGGTTGCCCGCATCAAGGAGTTGGCTATCAGGGATGTCGTTATTGATGCGGGGAGCGACAGCCCGAATTTACTGGCTTATAATGGTATTGCGTGATGTACTATATAGTGCCAGTGTCGTGGGAACGATGGGTTACGGATTGCATGCATACCTACCTACCTACCTAAGGTACCTACGTATCATAGACTATGTCAATGAGAAAATCATTCAAGAGGAACTGTACTAATTACTTTATCATTGCAGAATCTTGTTAGGATAGCCCAATTAACCTAACTAGAAGGTAGCTCATAATTACACACGTGTGGAATAGTCAATCCTTTACGGGATAACACTTCTTGATACACATGTCACGATCCTCATCAACATTAAACTGTCCATCACGAGTATCAACAAAGTGTACAATATGTGGGTTGCTCAACCGAGTATGAAAAGGTTTGGTAATCGGTATCATCCTAATCCTAGTGTAGGCACCGTAGCCTCGATGCCGGAGATGTAACCCTGTGTAAGGAAAAACAATCGTACATGTAAATCTCAGACCCCCGTACCTCTCAGCAAGAACTTTTCTGGTCCGTTCCATGCCCCCGCCAATCAAAACGAGGGAGTAAGCGATACCCCCCAGAGCTCATTAGAGTAGAGAAATTCTCATGATCAACTTTGCGGAAAAAGAAAAGGTGGCATGGCTACTGTTGTAACCAATGCTAGCAGTACTTCAGATCTAGTAGTACCGTCGGATCTAACCCGAAGCCTCTTAATTAGGTCCGGGGATGTCTGCGATTCGGCTGCTTGCGTGATGACTAGTGGTAGTTACCGCCCCAGCCACCTTGCTGTTGCCGGCCGCCGTAGTAGTTCCCGAAACCTTGGTTGCCTCCGTAACCTCCGTACGGACCATTGCCGTGCCCTTGGCCAGCGGTGCCCCCGAGGCCATAGGCGCTCCCTGCAGACTGGTTGCCGTGCAGACCGTGACTCAGATGACTAGGGTAGCCCCCATATCCGCCCATACCTTGCTGGGCTGACTGGGGAGGTGGAAGGCCAGATGCTGCAGCAGTGTTTGTAGCGGAACCCGGTCTTGCGGCGGCGCTAAGGGAAGGGCTAGGTCCACCAGCAGTCTTCGAGTCGCCATACGGTTTCAAGTCGTCGTTTACAGGACCCGTACTTGAAGCAGGTGCGTTCGGAGCGTTGAAAGACTGCCCGGCCTGAGAGGGGTAACCTGAGCCACGTCCGAACGTGTCATGCATCCCGCCGAATCCGCTGCCACCAAGACCGCCTGGCGCGCCCGACTGAGTGGAGCCTGCGCGGCCGTAGTTATCGATGCCGGAAGCTATTGTGCTATCGCGGCCACCGAGAGAGGACTGACCAAAGCCGCTTGTCGCGGGAGAAGATGCATGATCGTAAGGGCCCTGTGGGGACATTCCGTACTGGTGGGGTTGTCCATAAAGCCCCCCTTTACCGTATGGGCCGCCGTATGCTCCCTGTCCATACGCACCGCCATACTGGCTCATATACTGGGCGTAGTACGGACTCGAGTAGTACGGGTGTGAATAGGGATATTGGTTATTATGCGGCTGCTGATGAAGGTTGGATTGAGGCTGGGTAGCTTGGCTCGAAGCCTGTTGGCCGCCTTGACCGATCGGATTTGGTGTATTGTGGCCACTGTTGTGAGACTCGGCAGAAGCAGTAGCTCCATATCTAGTCTGCTGAGCGCCGCTCTGGGGGTACTGACTTAGATTATCATTCTGACCAGCGTTGTAGCTACTAAATCCACGGTTTGGAACGTTCGAAGTCTCGTGATGGCTTTGGCCAGCATGCTGTTGCCCATATTGCTGTTGCCCGTAATAATTATTGTATGAACTACGAAGCTGCGGGTCGTTCGAATAAGGTGGGTAATCACTCGGTGCGGAGCTAAATGCGCCACTAGTCTGCGTCTGCGGTCCTGAGGCTTGCGTTGTAGGAGTTGGGAAGTTATCGAGACCAGCCGAGCTGGTAGCAGTCTGCTGGCCGAAGGTATCGAATGATTTCTGTGGGAAGCCGGCCGGTTCTGGCGCATTGGTTTGACCATAGCGTCCAAATTGCTGGTTGCTCGAGGGCGCTTGCGGCGCTGTAAGAATATTAGTAGGGTGACTGACTTGGGGATACTGCGACATACGCTGAGCTGTAATGGCAGCGGGACCGGTCGGTGGGGCCACGGGTGTCGCTAGACGACGGTTAGTGAGCTGTTTCTTCTGAGAACGGTGAAAGGGTGCTCTACCAGTTGCGCTAGGTGCTGAGGGTAAAGATGTAGCAGGCTTCTGAGTAGCCGCAAATGCGTCGGGTACTGCTGCAGGTTGAGACACCGGAGGCAATGAGGCACGGGGAACGGCGATCGGAGATTCAGGTGGCGGTTGAGTTCTAGTCTCAGGGTCTTCACGGTCACCATCGATATCATCTTCGATTCCGTTTATGCTGAAAGCACCGAATTGTACGGCGGCACGGTCGACCTCGCGGTTCCCAGGCATTCGGACCGCTTCTTCCTGCTCAAGAAGACGCTTTTGGTAACTAGGCATACGAGGTGCAGGACGTTCGGTTGCCTTAATCGCGGTTGTCGCAAACCCACCAGCAACGGGGCGTGTAGTCTGGTGCTGCGCCTGGGAGGCCGAGAGCGGAGTCACCGTAGCACTATGCTGCGGTTGTCTGGGATCCCATGAATCTGCGGCTGTACCAGCAGCTGTAGCGGTATTCGGGGGTTGAGATTCGTCGGGTAGCTGCTCGAGGTTGACTCGGGTTAAATCGTCTTCAGAAGGGGGTAGTGTAACTTCGGGTTCGACAACCTTAGGCGTCTCTGCGGGGGCAGGCTGTTCGGCGGCCTCTTTCGGGGCTTCCTCGGGCGCAGGCTGCGATTCAGGCTCGGGGGTGGCGGCGGCGGCGGTGGCGATAGGTTCGGCGGGCGGAAGAGGTTCCAACACTTCGGCGGGCTTAGGCGCAGGGGCTTCCTTCGGCTTCGGTGCTGCTTTCGGGGCGGTCGACTGGCGTAGCATGCTAGCCCAGGTCTTCTGTGTACCTTGCGGGATGACACTGGGTTTAGCAGGAGCCGAATCAGTAGGAGCGGTGGCGGGCGTGGGAGTAACAGCAGCTTCGGTAGTAGAATCAGTTGTGCCCCAGGTTGGGGCGCCTTGATCGTTGGTAGCAGCTTCTTCAGTGGTGGTATTGGTGGTTCCCCACCCAGAGGATTCTTCAGTCGGAACGGAAAGTTGCTGGTTCTCCTTCAACCGTTGACCATTCGTGGTAGCATGAGAAGTTGCCCGACCTCTGCCACTTCCTCGACCTCGCTCATTACCACGACCACGACCACCTCGTACACCATCTGAGCGACCGCCACGAACTGGCCTGCTGTTACCGATCGATTCGGCGAGGCCAGCTGAAATGGAAGCATCCTTCGGCTTAGGGCGGGTGGTGGTCTTCTTCTGCTTTGATACTTCGCCCCACTGGGAGATGGTACCTATAAGTGATAATTATATTAGCAAGGCGAAGCGGTAAAAGGGCGAGGGTGGCGAAGAATAAGGAGGGTAGGAGCGTACCTTCAGCAATTCGTGTAGCGGCGACTTCAACATCGCCGTCTGTTTCCTTTAGTGCATAGAGAATATCGGCATCCGACCAGTTCGGGAAGAGCTCTTTAATAGTGTCGAGCTTTCCACCATACTGCTTCCTGAGTTGGCTAACATCACCGTCGTCATCGAAAGCGGTCGCATCTGCAATCGTCAACTTATCACCATTGGTCCGTCTGTTCGTAGAAGTACGGCTGGCGAAGCCTCCTCTGCCACCGCGGCCACCACCTCGGCCACGAGAGGATGGTGCCTGTGATCGAGCCTGAACCTCGGCCATCTCTTAAGACTTAGGTTAGACAATATGATATGTGGTGTAAATGATTCCCTTCTTAGAAGGGGGTTTCAACGATAGCAGTCAAATCGGCGATGACACCAGTGTGGTGGGCGTTGTTGGAAACGTGAAATGGTGGAGAAGTAAGTTGTAGGTTGAATGACAGAATTGATTTGGAATTTGGGTGGGCGGAAGAGGTAAGAAGTTGGGGGCGCGTGGCACTGTATGCGATTCGACGCAGGTGAAGGTGAGGCTGACAAAAATGTGCGACGTGTCAATAACGCGACGGTAGGCGAATTGGCCAATTGTCTTTAGACAATGGCAATCGGGGTTGAAGTAAGAGAAGCTTCAATGCGAGAGAGGGATGCTTTAGGTAGATATTTGCTTTGTGTGTGTTGTAGTACGTGCGTGGTGTGAGAAGGCAATCCAGAGCTTGCAACGAAAAAGGGAAGTGGACTTGGATCTGAAGGCTTTTTCGGCTGTTGGATTATCTAATAGTCCTGGCCTATCTCATGTAGGTTACCACTTGTACCACTTTGGTTTGCTTTTGGGCATGTCAGGTATGTTAGATACATTTAAATGTACTGTGATACCTTGAAAAACATGACCTCAGGCCGGATTGGTGCAGGTAGCCTTCCCTAGGATGTACCTATATATACCGCCTGACCTGACTTGGGTAGGGATTATGCCCCACAAACAGTGAACTCTTTTTTTTTTTTTTTTAATGATTGGACAACCGTACAGGTGGAACCTAGTGATAGCACGTGCGAGTCAGTGCCTACATATCGGAGTACCTTACTTACCTACATAAGTACAGTATGGGGAAGCTCGACCTTGAGACCTTCAATGGCTACATACCTACATATGTAGGAGACAGTCGCCGAGGTAACTAACTGCCTGGTATACGTGTAGGTACACAGTAGGATCGATCTGCATGCTTCATACGCACATTGTATATGCATACCTTTACGAAATCGGCTATTGCTCAATTGACGTGGAATGAATTGCACTCGGCTAGCTTTACATACTTTAGATCTGCTACACTACACGCATTTTATTATCCCTTCCATATTATCTGTAGATACCTTCATAAAGTTACAAATATAGGTATCTACCTAAAACAGGAACAGGTAGGCATAATACCTTTCAGATATATATTTTTCCTATCAAACGAACAAAGGGGGGGTTTTCTTTTTTCTCATGACGAGATACTGGAATTTCAATGGTTGAGTTCACGTGCCAACTCTTGAAAATCTGTCCGTGTTCATACCAACCCCTTGGTTTAAGAAATCCCAAGCTATCCAACAGATACAATGCCGGATCTAGGGAGTTTCTACCGTGCAGATGAATTATATCCATGGATATATTTTACCAGTGAGCGCTATGACGAACAGTGTGTGCCCAAAGTTCCAACTTCCTTTACTTATCGTAGGGCTGAGGGGAGGCGCTCAATGCCGTCATGGCCTTTAACTTCTTATTTAATTCAACGATGAACTGAAGTCTTTATCCGGAGTAGGTATTACTACATATTTCAAGCCATGGCGTCGTTTGTACCGCGCGGCTCGGTGCTGTGTGACCATTACCTGACTCAGTCGCATATTTGGTTCATCATTTGACTTCTTCCGACTACATCGCCGCTTGCGTTATCTGGCATGGCGAGACTGTGCTGCTCCATGTTGCCGTATTATTATGATAAGCTTGTGGGAATTCGATACTTTGTGCTTCATCGTATCTTTTATTCGACTGACAACACATAGATAATGTGATGAATTTTAGATGTGCAAGACATCTCACCTGAAATCTTGAAAAGTAGGCTAGCCAATATTAATATTTTCAAATCCCTTTGTATTGTTCAATATGTACCCAACCCAAGATAAGGTACCTAGGTAGGTAGATGCATGCAGTTCGAAAGACCCATAACTGAGATTGATCTGTCGCGGAATCTGGCAAAGGATTCAATGGATCCAAAACCCGGGTTGGAACTAGGTACCTTGGTACATATGTAGTAGACTGTACCTGAGCTGCATTATGTAAGCACTGTAAGCACCGGGGGAAGAGGAGCTAGAACTAATCGCCCAATCATCATCCGCCTATCGAACCATCAATTCATCTATCGCAACCTTCTTCGCTTAATTGACGATGTCGACTCGACGACGTAGGGATTGACGTCTTTAAAATATTGTATCTTAACCCGACCTTACCTATATTTTCGAAAACATAGGAATTATGATTGAAGTCTGGATATTCCCATAACATTAGACCTGTTATCCATCGTCACTATCATCGAAAACTCAAGATGGTGGTCCGAACAACTTCGCTCAACTCGCTCAAGAGGTTCCTCCCCAAGATACACCAACCCTTGCCGTTGACCCCCCGCGAGTCCCAACAGATGCTCGATTCCATCACGACGTCCTTCCGAAAGAACCTCGATAAGGAACACCCGTGGGAGCATCACGATGATATAACATCGCAGACTTCTATACCTCAAAATAAAAAGCCTACCTTTTCGACATCTCTCCCCTCTTCGTCTTCTTCGCTAGATACCCCAGGCCAACAGCATCCGACAGACCGACACTTACGCGATATTCTCTCAAACCCCCTCTTTTCCCACCAGAGCAAGAAGAAACTGCCTTCGGCGTCTAGGGACCCTCTCGATGTCTTCGATTCTGCCGTGTCGCGGGGTCTTATGACCCCGCAACGTGCTGTCGGCTTTCTCGCCAAGGTACGGTCCCAGATCGGAAACGGATCGGCCGACGATATTCGGCGGGGTATGGCCGAGTCCGGGGCTGGGTTACGGGTGGTACAGTGGCTTCGGGCCTCCGGTCTAGAAAATGACATGCAATTCAGTTCTAACTCGACCTTGTTTGCGGCCCTCATACCCTTTATGTATGCCGAAGGCCTTGAGGAAGTAGCTTGGACGTGGGTGGCGCGCCTATCTATATGCGACAAGACCCACGATATCAAAAAGCTTCACATATCGACCTTGTCGGCCCTATTGTTCGCCATCTTGAACCAGACTTGTCATACGTACTCTGGGGTGAAGACTAGCCTTGACTCCTCGTACGAGGCTATAATACGTGCGAACGATATACTGCCTAAACAGAACGAAGTAGCGCTCAAAAGTTTCCGGAAGGCGTGGGCTGGATTGTCTTGGATTTCTACGGTGTGCGCCTCGGAACGGCCAAAACCCTCAGCACCTCTGTTCGAATCGTTCGTCGACATAGGGCGCCCATGGAAGATGCCGATGGATATGGCGCACCTGGAGCTCCATCACCCTCTCGTGCCCAACCATTCTGCCGCTGTTCAGTTCTTACATAACAGTTCTGATTCCTCAAATCTTTATCCATCTACCCGCAGGCGGCTTGTTTGCTTAGCCCTGGATACAGCTGATCGGCTGAAAGAAGTCGGAGATACAGACGAGGTCTCCTGGGTTGAGCGATTCTTGCTAAGGATAGGAGACGACTTGAACTTTGGCATTTTTAATGCGCCTGGAAAGGACTTGATAGCATCCAAATTACCCATTTATCGTATGATGTAAGAGACACAGAACTATAACATGAGGATGGGAATGATCATAGTGTCGTTCAATTTTTATTATTATGGGAAAGGAAATCTGGGCTGGGCCGGCGTTTCGAGTGAATTAGGCAGCATGCTCTATAGGTAGGTACCGAGCTTTATCCAATGGAATGGGAATCGAAGTTCGCAATGCAGCGTTTAAGGGCTATTAGCAGCATAGGCACTTCTTAGCAATAAAATTACTATTGTATATCTTGACCCCCCCCCCCCCCCCCTTCCTTCCCCCCCTCCTTATACTTGCAGCACGTATTCCAACCAATTCGTATAACTAAATACGTTACATGAGGTGGTAGTCACCATGTTTCTAAACATCATAACAAATTTGGGTATCGTACAACTATTCAACGAAACGAAAAAAAAAGAAAAAACGGACAGGACTCCTGTGCAGATCGTTCCTCGTATATCGTTCGTCCATCTTATTAAAACCTTTCGCCAGAGTTTTTTGCCAAGATATTATGTTTTAGAGTCAACAACAAAAAAAGGAAGCAAGCAGGAAGAAGGTAGGCATCATTGCTGATCTTCTATCCCGTTAACAACGCGCAAGGCACGCCTGGGCGCCAATACAACGCTAATGAAATTCGGTTGCTGTGATATTGAAGTTAGCAATTAATTCTCGATGTAAGGAGCCCGAAGCTCCCTGAATCAATGCGATTAGGAAACTCCGAAGGCGTAAACAGATGAAAGGGAGGAAGAGAAATATTGAATACTACGTACCCGTCCATCCAATAGCGCGTCTGCCGACCCAGCCGTGCTGCGACTCGCGCCGCTCTTAGATCGCCCGATGTCTCCTGCACCCGCCGCCCCGCTGATGTAGCTATCATATGCCCAGGGGCTGTCGTCACTAGGCCGCGACCAACCATAGCCCGATCTCGATCCGGATGTACCAGAACTCGGATCATCGCCGGCTATCTGCTTCTGTTCACTTTGGCGGCCCACCCATCCGAACTGCTCGCCAGAGCCGTCGGAGGATCCGCGGCGGTGGCTTTTACGCAGCTTCTCGCGCATCCCGGCGACGGTCGCTCCGAAGCCCTTATCTCCATCTATAGAACCAGAGTCCCGGTTTACGATAGCCATATGCTGCTTATACGCAGCCACCTGGCGACGGTATAGCCATGTGCAGAACCCGAGGTATAGTGCTGCCAGACCCGCCAGGCCTGCTATTACGCCTGCGGCGATTAAGCCACCATTCGCACCGGCGGGTGATGAAGATGAGTCGCCAGACCCTGAGTCGCCATTTGTCACGGTTGCGATGCTGCCAGGTGCCGTAATGGTAAACACCGGCGGTGTACCAGTTTTGAAAGGTCCGTCTGTAGCCGGGCCAGACGCTGGCTGCGTTGCTGTTGCGCCACCATCAGATGAGCCGCCTACTACCGACTGAACTATATCGGGTACCTTATAACCGTAACTACCAGCCAGTATGCTATTCTCTGGGTGATCGTCTGCCGGGTGGTCTGCTGTATCGAAGGAATCTTTCCATTCCAAATTTGAGGCGTCAAAATTGTAGATACCAGGGTTGTCACAAGCAATCTCAGTGCCAACATAGCCACCGATCACGATCATCTGACCATCTCGGGCAGCACATTGATGACCGGCTCGGGCTGGTGGCTCTTTGCTAGTCGAAGTATCGACTTTAATCCAAGTAAATGAGGGCACAGTCAAAATCCATATGTCCGTGTATTGAGTTTGATTTCCATACGGGAGCAGGTTCTGTCCGCCGTACATATAGATATTAAACGAGCTTGCATCGGGGGCCGAGAAGATAACTGCGCATGGATTTACTCGTACTTGAGGTGCTTCACCGGATGTCTCTTGGTGATACCAGGTACTAGTTTTTATGTCATAAACATCAATGGTACTCATGGAAGAGAATGCGTCGGTGGTTTCGTGTTCTCCGACCACCCCTCCGCCAAGGCCCAGTAAAATCCCTCTCGGAGCCCAGCCGGGGACGTAAACGAGAACACCGTCAGCTCGCTCGGTGAAGCCATCCTGGTTTTGAATGCCGCCCCATGTGATGTTTCTGTAAGCACCACCTGGGGGAGCGCCAGAAGAATGGAGCGAGTCAACCCCGGAGTTTGCATACCCTGGATGCGTGAACTCAAGTAGGCTCTTCAGATAGACACGGTCAATCTGGTTCGTCCACCCTGGCGTAGTAGCCCAATCTAGGTGGCCGCCGAAATACCAACTAACGCCTAACTCAGGTACGGAGATTCCAGCGCCTTCCGCCGCCCGTTGTACAGGAGTGCCTTCGGGATCTGAAAAGTTGCCAGCTGATGTCATAAGATCTTGTAGTTCTGTCCAAGTTGACGAAGCTACATCATACATCCATGTAGAGATTGGCGATGGTTGTACAAGAGGATCATCGGAAAATTCGCCGCCATAGAGATATAGACGGTCTAAGTCGTTCCAGAGATAGCCAAGAGATACCGCTGGCGGACCTGATGGTCTAGGGAGACCTGACAGGGCCGGTGAGCTGATATCCCATGATTTGGTCAGATCAAGGGCTATAAAGTCGTTGTCTAGGACCCAGTTAGCAGAAACTTTGCCAACTTATCAATGCTTCACCTACTCCATGTGTTCGTTTGCTGATCTCCGTTGTTCTTTGACCGACCTCCGTAGATGTATACCGTCCCATTAATCAAAGCACCTTAAGGAGGTTAGTGGCTGTGGTATGAAGAGATCAAAAACATCCGATAGACACTTACTTTGACCAGCCCATCTTGTACAAACGTCGGTGGGACTGTCCTCTCTGGTTTTGAGGATCACGCTCGGATTTGGTCTAATTACGCCTGCGTCTGCGCCGCTGACCTCAACCCTTTTATGGCCGTTATTATAACTAATGGTAGGAAGAACAATTGCGATAAGTAGAGCGATCATGGAGAGCCTATGAAGCCCTGTGATCATGGGAGGTGGCGCACTAGAAGTAGTTTTCATCCTCGGGCGCCTCGACGGTGCCAATTTAGACAACCACTTAGACTTTCCCCTCGGCGAACCTTGCCCAATAGAAGATGTCGTTTCCACCGGTGACGCTATTTCTGAGGATGGCCCAATTCTTTCATTGGCGTCACTTTCTTCGTGCGTCTCTGAGGTTATGTTTTGTTGACTTTCTCGTCCCTCCGCGGTCAGTCCTACTTCCTTAAATATTGATCGTCGTCCTTTTCTGATACTGCTCGCCATCGAAAATTTCGGTAGTCTTGAGCCTTCTCTTAGACGATCTGATGTGACTAACGAATTAAACCTTGGGCGCGGAGTCTCGTTTCGTCGACTTCCGAGGTCAGGATTGCTATTGAGGACTTTGGTAAATGTCATGGTGAAATAGCATCTTACTGTCGCGTAAATGGTTCTCTTCTCAAATCCACGGCATAGAAGAATATCGCCACTCCATGCATAGCGATGACCACGGGAAGGGGGGTGGCATCTTCATATATGGATATGAGGTCACAGAGCAACCCTTTTGAGGCTTCCGAGGGCAGCTAAAATGCACAGGATTAATCCAGGGGCCAGGGGCCAATGACGGCGGAAGTATCACGGTACTTGCGGATACAACAGCGTCGGCATTTAGTAGGTATAATAGGTCGGGGTAACGTTTAAGACTTGTGGATGTAACGGGGTGACATGGGTGCTTGGCTCACTACATCATGAACATGAAGATTATATGCCATGATTGCATCAGCCGTAAGATGGGCTCGATGCGGCGGATTCAAGCAGGAAAACTTGGCAGCTTGTCTGATAGAAGTCGGTAGCATTGTAGTTGCTCATTGCCATTTTAAGCCAGGAACAGGAATATTCAGCGAAGATGATTGGCTCTTAATGAATGGACCAGCCGGGGTAGGCCAAGTATGACGACACGCCCCCAAGATTTGATCGATCTAAAGTCTGAAAAAGGCAGGATCATTTCTCCACAAGGAGGCTTTGTTCCTACATACATGTAGTGTAGTTGCTTTTACACTAAAGCTTGCCTGGGAAAGAATAGAGAAATATAAACGTTTAACATCCAATAACCATAGCGAAGCGGCTTACCCGTATAGATCGTGTTGCTAAAAGAGTGTACTTGAAAGGTTTCTTTAGTCAAACTTATTAGTCTAGGTCTTATGAACCATGTGATACCTTATATACCTAAGCTATCTAACATAGCCCTATACAGCCACAACGCTATAGCGCCACATATAACCCCCGAGGTTGCTCATACGATTGGGCCACGAGAGTTTGATGCATTTTATATAATTGTCTGTCGCAGATGAATGCAATAACATTAGCGGCTGTTGAGAGGCTTTTTAAAGGGCAGCTGTGAGATCCGTTTAATCTTTAGGTTAATGATGTCTTCGAGTCCACTTACAGTATCAAAACATAGCATCCTATTCACAGCGAATAATCTCCTTTTCCATCAAATGTATTATCAAAATCATTATTAGGGTTATTTAAATTATTCAACGTTACATTTCAATTGCTAAAAGCCACCAGTGAATTTGAATCGTTTGGAATTAGTTTGGTGAATGATATATTTAATAGTCACGCTATTAGCCACCTTATCACGAGTGTAGCATAACTCCTTAAAGGACCAGGCTCTAGTGCATAATACATCGGTTAGTAGATGTAGGTACGATATTGATTGCTCTTTTTAATCTGAGTATGGCTGATGACAAAGGGGCCACGCTGTAAAATAATAGTGACTACTAAGTGACGAGGTTACGTTTATCTACCTGGGTGTTGAGGACACGACTTCACTTAGAGAGCAGACAAACAATGATACTGTACTAGATTCTGACTCAGGTACAAGTGGGCGTACACGGCAGAAATTACGGGAAGAATACGATTCTACTAAGTTAGTTTCTGACTACCTACATCGCCTCTAATGGGTATATAACCAAGCACAGATTCTTTTGAACTTTCTTGTAGACATGTATCCGCATCTTATTAACCTTTCGGCTTCGCTTATCCTTTCCCAAGATCTATGAAGACCTATCTCTAATTAGCTAGGTACCTTGTAGACCCGTGGAGCTACAAAGGCTTCCGCCGCGACAATGAATACATACGCGATGCGTAACTTTCTGTTTGCTCTGGTGGCGCGTGCATCCGGCCTCGATGTAAGACAGCCGCCAGAGCTAACTACGGTCACTATTCGTTCGATGACAATTACAACCACGAGGACGGTTACTACTCATCCAGTTTTGTGGACAAATACCACCATCCAGACCTTGCCTCCAATCGAACCCTCCACGGCATCCGTCTCTAACATCACTGGAGGAGCCCTGGGTACGGGCGCTACAGCAGCAACTTCGGTCATCACGGAGACCTCGATAAGCGGGACTGAGGGTTCATGTATAACTGTTACCCCTAACGTATCGGTTCGGCCTTCCCTACTCCCTTCAACAAGTTCCAGAGCGGTGTCAAAGTCGACCGAGGGGGATCAAACCATGTCTTCCGTGACCGCTCTCTGGCCACGACCGGGAATTGCTGATCCCCCTGAGGCTCCATTATCGTCCTCCAGTGTACCCTACACTACCTCAAGCTCGCTGGTCACCTCAAGCTCGCCAGCCAGCTCATCTACGCCCGATCCCGTAGAGAGCAGCACAAGCATAAGATGGAGCATTTCGCCAACGATAAGCTCGACCAAGCTCCTTAATTCTACTAGTCAGAGTAGCGATTTGCCCACTTCAACTAGTAGCAAGACATTCACCACTAAAACTTCGTCGCAAGTAGCTAGTGTGAGCACCGCCACTGCTTCTGATGGGACGGGATATGGCGAGGCTACGATGATTCTGCCTACCGTTGACCTAAGTCGTCCCGATCAAAGCTCGTCTAGCTTTAGCCCCACGACTCCTCACCTATCGATCCCCTCTCCCAGCTCAACCATACATGTGGTCGCTATCGATGTGCTAGGATTCTAGATGAGATATCTAGAACGAAGGTCTTTTTCAGTATGTATAGCCGCAGGTTCCCATAGCTAGCTTAGAAGTTCCTCGCGGAACAACTTCGTTATTTCTATGCTTCTTGCTTTATCTCATGATACAATAAGAATTTCATAAGAAACACTTTCTAGCTAACCATCTTATGTAGCTGTCCAAGATGGGTTTATTGGGGGATGTGCTGGAGTCTATTCTCTTTTCTACGGGGCATCTAGAGTCTGCCTAAGATTGAAAAAAAGGGGCCGGCCATATGTAATAGGAAAATTGTTTAATGAATTTGGAGTTGGGTAATAGTCTTAGACTATCATATTAATTATGCATACTTCGTATGATTTCGGAAATCCTTCGAGGTCGCTTAAAATGAGCATATCTGCACAGTATGTCGCGGTCCTAAAACTAGGTAGGCTTTCATATTTCTACTCTGGTCAGTTAGTCGTGAGTGAACATATATGCATGAATTTGTAATGTTTCTTCAAGTAAACCAAATTATCATTATCCTCGTTATACCGTTGGCTGTACTTGTAAATGTGCGTACCTACTCCAGACTGATTCAGTTAGTAACTACCCTAGCCAGTGCAAAGCTCCAGTCCAGCACTGTAAAAACTGCGTCTAGAACCGTGATACGATCAAGCCCCTTGCCCATGATCCATCTATCATTCTTTCGGCTCAGCGTGAAATTCAGAATCGCCTGAGAGAAGTTCGCGAGTCCGAGGACTGTCAATGCTGTAATGTCGAGCGGAACATCACCTGCGCTCGTCTTCGAAGAAAGGTATCGCGAAGGGCGTAGTAGTGAATACAGTCGAAGAATCGAGAGAAGAACAAGCGGGGAGTTCATTCCACCTAGGTAGGCCATGATGTCGTGGTGCCACTTATCACCAGATGGTGAAGAGCGGATTGCTGGGTCTTTGAAAGTTTTGCGGTGCGAAATCCTTCGCATTACGTGGGCTTGGCGAAAGCCGAAGTGAATGACGGCACTGTCAGGATTAGCTTTTGATATTGTTCAGCATCGGGGGTGAGAGTCAGAGTAAATATGATGAGATATAAATCTTACCTACTAAACCATAGCTTGAAACGAAGAAATGTTAGTTATCGGATAGAATTAATTTTTAGTTGAGAATCCAGAACTTACTGCATTTCCGGCGTAAAGGGCTTGGGTTAACCCAGGGCTAGTAAGCGCCGATAAAATGTCACTCATTATCGGTATCTCAAAGATCAACCTGCTACTTTGTTCTATAGTTGGCCTTTTTTGTGTCTAAAGCGTTACCGATAAATAATCTAGTAGTGTAGTTGTCTAAACACGCTCTTAGTAGTCTGGCGAACAAGCAGAGCTTATATTGAGAGTTACTATTCGTAGGAATCCTCAGCCAAGGCCGAGGCAGGGCTTAGACAACTCCACCTGGATGGGACACCTCGGCTGGGGCATCCAAGACGTGGATTTAAGCTTACATCTCCACGTGGGGTGCAATATCTTAATAGGCAGGTAGAACTTCCGGAGTTGGTATAGGAGGTGAAGTAAACCAGGGCTCATACATATACTACCCCATATATAGGTAGTCGATACGACGGCCGGGGTATGGCATTCTACGTTCCCATGCTTCGAATCCCGATTCTAGTAGACACTAACAAAAACTCTCGGGACCCTCGGGTTCCTATTATGGTTGATAATGCCGTATACCGGACTCCTTTGAGAAGGTTATCCTTGAGTAATGTCAAATGCCCTTAAAGTGTTTACAATCTCCTATATATCTATAGCGCTATCATATGGTGTCTCTTCAGCAAAAGGTTATATCTAAGGCTTAGAGCACATACTTGTTTAATTAACAAGATACTACTTTCAAGTATCTCTAATGAATTGCCGTTGGCAATTAATCCATACCTAAGCAGCCTGCCGAGACATAAGAGCCCGTTCTCGTAACCTATCTCGGAAATGTGAGCCTTTATGTTGTAGGCTACATCATTGTCATTCATTCAACTGGATAACTTTCAAGGAACATGAAGGACTACCACTCTCTACACACTATGTTACGCGGGATCTTGGGTTAATATTGACAGCTGAATCTTGAAGAAACATATGGGGAGATTATGGAAGATGAATGATGCAAAGGGCAAGACGGGTTGCTTATCCACGTGTTGAATTCATATCGCTATAGTTACCGCTAGCTCTAAAACTACCTAATTTATAAAGGACCTCGAATAACACTTCTCAAATTACAATATACAAGGACCCAAATCCAAAGTTTTCAAAACGACCCCCGGACCGATTCTCGGTGTAGTTCAAATTTCATACGGAGCTTAAAGTCGGACGAAAAGTTTTGCATCTCAACTGGTGCGTCAAGGAGGAACAACATCGTAGCAAGAGAGCTGCCGCCCGTCCAGTCAACGTTCTCACTCAACAACTTTTGTATCCCTATGAAGAACGGGTTATTGGCCTGGGCTTCCTCCCACCCCTTGTCTCCGGATTTGAGATCAAGCCAGCCGTTCCAATACTTGGGCTCCTCCATGGCCTGAAACGCGTTGATCATAGCGGCGCGAGTGCTGGCGTGCCGAATGTTACAATAACAAATAACCTTCAGGTGGGCCAACTGGTGATGGATTTGTATGTAGTTGTACTTGAGTTATGTCTCGAGCTTTTGTTCTCGGGGTGATATTTGTAGTGTCGATGCAAAAACAGACATAGGTTCCCCGCACGGTAGCGAAACGAGTGACTTGTCTTACGCTGTCTTGAATCGTTTGAAATGTTCGCCAAGCGGAGGGCTCGATGTTAAGAAAGCCATTATCCAAAATGCGCAATTCGCCTATTGACAGGTTGACCCGGTGGTTTGGGAAATATGGCAGCGCCATTGCCTTAAGGGATGACGACAGACTTGGGGAAATGACGTATATTTAGCTAAGATGCTTTGATATAGACGGGCAAATAAATGCTGGCTAGGTATGATGGTTGTCTTGTCATATAATGTTTGTTTGGTTTTACTAAATGTTAGATATATAGAATCATATAAAATTGGTATTCGATATATTAATGCAAATGGTGGACTTCAGTTAACGTTGACCTATAACACTTTCCCTGCATACACAACTACGAACCAATTATTCGAATTATTTTGTCAGCTATGTTCCGTACCTAGTATATATCTGTATCCCTTTTAGAGGGATGGAGGTGATCTATTGGTTGAGTTTTATGTATCTACTCCAAAGCGAACCTCCCTATTAGTGGATTCATATTATGAAGGAATCGCACAGGAACATATTTAAATGCAACTGCTCTAGTATATTTTTATAAGGGAGGCGCTTATTAGCTAATAATAACATTTCCCGAAGCATCGCCAAAGATGCTACCTCTAAGAAAACACAAGAGGAACTGCTGTATTTGCTGACTTGACAAGTATACCAATATTAAAAAACAGATTTCCCTGATCAGTCCCACATTATTAGAAACTCAAGATGGACGAGATTGAGAAAATACCGATACACTTGCCCATCGAAATCATCTTTCAAATTATCTCGTCTCTACCCCCTGCCAACAAATATGCCTACATCCCACCATGGTATGAAGCTACAGGCGTAGCTTAGAAGGCTCGTGTTTCGATACCCCGGGTAAACCTGCTTTTTACCAAAATTAGAAACAACCGCGACGGGGGTTATTTCTCAGGTTAACCGATCATTATGCGAAGGCCTTGTGATGATATGCCTGATCACCATTCCAGATCTTTCTTGTTACCACCACCTTCACAAGCACTCTGCAACATATCAGATCTGTCCCAATCGTAAATACCACCTCGTTCAACAAAAGATTTCTTATCCCAAACAATTTGTTTCATGGCTTCCTTAACGCCGACTTGCAGAATCGACTCGCTCTTCGTTATCATACCCTCGCCCTTGTCTAGGAAGCACATGTACTCATCTAGAAGCAGGTAGCTGCTCGCCATAGAGTTATTATCCTCCGGAACATAGCATGGAATATGCTTATGCCGGTTGCAGAACGTTTGCCATTGCTCATCAGTCACCAAGAAGCCCCTCGCGTCTCGCTTTCTTGTCTCGTCATCGTTCTCTCCAGCTACGATGAGACACTGGAATACTTTCCATCGGAATGGTGCCAGTTGTTCGATATTGGCTACCATGTCTTCGTCCCAGTTGTGTATGTTAACGACGGTATTTAACTTGAATTTGATTCCATATTTTCTGCACCACTCCGCAATACGAAACAGCCGAACCGCATTTCCTCCATCGTCACCACGCCCAATCTTTTTATTCGTCTCCGGATTAAACGAGTCGCACGACACGGCTAGAATATCTAACCACTGACAATTTTCTCGCAACCAATTTTCCCTGATCTTGCTGCCGTTGCTCACGATGCTAATGCTCTCGACGTTTAGCTCTTCCTTGCAATAGCAGAGTAGTTCGGTGAGGAGACGAGGGTAAAGAAAGGGTTCTCCGCCCGCAATGTTGAGCTTGCGCATGCCGGCCTCTTTTAACAGCCGTAGACCACGTTTCGCCTCATCGATAGGAAGGACGTAAGAAGAGGTGTCAGTGTGGAAACAGAAGCCGCATGTATAGTTGCATTTCCGAGATGGGAAGTAGTTCACGGAAACAGGAGCGTCTGGTTCTGCTGATAGGTCCTTAGGTGGCTTGTCGATGGCCTTCAGTTTAAAGCGTTTCTTAATTACGACAGACGTGGAAACGACGTAGTAGACAATGATAAAGAGGCATAAGGCAGCCGATACATTCGTCAGAAGAGCCATGACTGCCAAGGTAGACCTCGACTACCTATTCCTATACAGCAGATTCTGCAGAAAAACTCCCAAATAATGTAGGTGTTATTGAATTCGGGTTCTTTAGTACGGGATGGAAAGTGGGGAAGTCTGTGATCTCTGTTGACGTGTCAAATTAATTAACCTACCTTGTTGAGTAACTTGAAGAAACTTTATTTAAAAATATTATTAAATATTATTATCGATATGTCCCCAAGTGTGAGTTACATGATATAACCTCGCGTAACAAATCTGTAACGTTAGTGTGACACGACTCCTGCCCCACCATCTACGCCGGATCAAACACAATAAGGCTCTGTCTGAATAATGTATCTATAAACTTCATAGCCTTATGCATTATCATCATCATGGAGACTACTCCCACCATCCCCATTCCCCGCAGATTTGCGGTCATCTTCGTCCTTGGTACGTGTTCTGAGACCCTCCAATCTACTTTGGCCTTGCTATACTAAATTTTTAGGACCTCCTGGCGCTGGAAAAGGAACACTCTGTACTCATCTAGCACAAACACACAACTTGACACACTACTCTGTCGGCGATAGCCTCCGTGATTGGATGCGCCAAAACCATGCCACATCACTTGGAACCCGAATCAAAGACAAGCTCGATAATCAGGGATTTCTTACCTCGGAAGATTTGAATCCGTTTATTTGCCAGGCGATAAAAGACGCTATCTACCAAGATGAACCAAAGTCTCAAGGAATTCTAGTCGATGGATTTCCGCGATGTATAGAGCAACTAGAATCATTTAACACATGGCCGTTCCAGGACGAATTGCCACTTGCCCCAAGCAGTGGTGGTTGGGATAGAGCAAATGCAAAGCCGGATATCGTACTATGCTTCAAAGTTACCAAGCAAAATGCGGAAGCAAGATATCTAGCCCGAGGGCGAGATAGCAATGACAGCAAGGAAAAGTTCGAGAGACGTTTCGTAGAATATGAGGCCGAGACCATGGAAGTTGAGGAGGTGTATCGGCAGCGTGGCATTTTGATCGATGTGGGTATCAAACGATCTACATGGGAATAGTGAGATACTAATGGCTGTAGGTTGATGCAAATGGAACGAAGGAGCAGAACGTTAATGAGTTGACAAAGAAGCTTGAAGAAAGTGGGCTATGGCAGAAGATTATTGTTGAAGGAAGTACAACACATTTTCTTGTGTGAAAGGCATAATAAATGGAAGCATTGCCTCACTCCAGTCGAAAGTCTCTCTTCCTAGTGTATTCGCGGATATCAAGCGGATGTATGTAGGATACACGTTCTGAAGTATGCGTTCCTGGGAGGAAAGTGGAATGATGAGATTTGGTGGTGTACTATTTTCGATACGGAGAGCTTTGGGACTTGGGTTTTCCCAGCACTTCAACCGAAACCCAGACGAGAAGCGTGTGATTAAGTAGCTAAGTAATCATCGGTTTGAGACACTGACTATTAGAGAAGACAGTAATGATTCCTTTCGGTACTGATTAGAACTGAAGTGTTTTTTTCTGCTGTTATAAATAGACAGCATTGATAAAAGGCGCTTGAGGCTCCCATTTATCCTAATCCTTAGGCCAACCTTCTTCTACAACTACCCAGATAGATGATGATGTCTTACGGTAACGATTCGTATTGGGTATCCGCAACTCTGGGATAAGCCAGGCTGCCAGGGTCTCTGTCGATGTGCGGGGAGGAGGGCTAGTGACAGGTCAACTTGGCAAAGCGCCCTAGATTTACATGGGGATCCCCGCCTCTGACAAGAAAATCCCGCGCAAAGACCCTGACGGCATGGAATCTCGATCTTGGTAAAGTTGGGGTGGGGTTACGTTACGTTTGAATTATGTAGGATAAGTGTTACAATTGAGACATATGAGATTCATAGTCAATAAACCGAGTGCGTCAAGTGCTACATATATGTTCTACAATTGGAACTTGTGGTGTTTTGTTACAAGGTACTTACCAAGTATGTATGTGTTGGACTCTTTTGAAAGCGATTGAGACCCCCACGTTCTTCTTCTAGAACTGGTACCTAGCCTTGATGTGCACTACTAATTCAGGCGGTTAATCATACCAATTAACTACCTAGATTTAATATAATATAACTTCCATAAAATGATAAATATTGGCTAGAACCTGCTAAAAGCATGTGGGACAGCGGGGAAGAAGATATTGGATGGTTAGGTAGGTTAGGTAGTTAAGGGGCGAAAATGAGATGGTGGATGCTAATAATGGTGTGCAGTGATAGTTTCTGGTCTTGATGCGATGCAACTGCGGAGAATACAACGCTGCCAACACTTTTTTTCTTTTTTTTTTCTTCGTTTGAACCCAACTCCCCTTTCTGCCCTGTGATTAACACGTTTAATACATGAAAAGCTCTTATTCGATCCACTAACAACGATACCGGCGTATCCGTTATCCTTACCCAGGTTGCGGAGAACCTACCAGATGGCCTCGGGTCCACGGGTACCTCAAGATACCGCTACCGAATCTTCGCCCGCATGAAATTAGGCTACATTTATTAGGTACTCTACATAGGTACTTAAGTGCTTTTTTATACTTTACGGGATGCGTATAGGTACATACGTACATGTAGTTCTTCTAATTCCCATTCATCTAATTCTTCCATATTCACATAATCTTTTCTTCTCGATTTCGACCCTCATGTTTCTATTTTGCTAACTATAACATGTGAAATTGAACGTTTTGCTGCTTTTTTAACATTCATGTAACTGCATTAAGTACCAACTTACACAGCCTACACAGATACACTACTTTAGGTACATATACAGACCTTTCGTCGCCTTATTCCCGAACCGCGAGCAGCCATTATCCCTGCCACTATGTAAATCTTGCCGTGCTTCATCTTATTGCTGCATTGGCCTCCAAGCATCTCTGGTTTCGATACCGACCATCATCCCTGTAGAAATCTTCTTCTACTCCGCCAAATCTCCAATTCTTTCTTACGGTCTTTTTACCCAACATCGTGCTCTCTTAACCTTTATCCCGGTCTCCCTTTTCCATATCTAGTGATGACCTCGAGTCGCGTTCCGAATACCCATACCCTCTCGACGAATTCCCTGACCATCTCTACCACCCTCCCTTAGCATTTGTAGCGACAATTGTAACACGAGGGAGCGGTGTGATAAGACAGAAGTGAAACGAACCGAGCCAACGGATCGCCGTCATGCCTGAGAAGCCTCTCACCGTTGCCACCTATGCGGCCGGTGCTTCTCTCGCTGCGATCACTCTCTTCTACGTCTTTGCCCCCAACTATTTTTTAGATGATGATTCCAACACGACACGTAAAAAAGGCGTCGTAGGTCTTTCGAACCCGGCAAACGACTGTTTCATCAACTCCGTCCTCCAAGCCCTCGCCGGCCTCACCGATCTCCGAATCTACCTCATCCGAGAAACTCACCGAAGAAATATAGATGAACCATGGGTATATCAAGAAATAGTGCAGGATCCTGCGTACAAGAGCAAACCCGAATGGAAGGTCCAGGGTCTACAGGCCGGGCTCGTCACCAAGGGCCTGAAGGATATCCTCGATGCCCTTAACGAGCGGCCTATTTACAAGAAGACCATATCTGCTGGCCCCTTTATCAGGGTCCTTGAGACTGCTTTCAAGCAGCGCATTAGTAGGCAACAGCAGGACGCGCAGGAATTCTTACAGGTGGTAGCCGAGCGATTATGCGATGAATACCATGCCGGAAGGAGAGCTCGACAAGCTGCGAGAAATAAATGCGGCACCGAAGCGTCAGCAAATAAAGCAGAGCCAATCGATGGCGACGCTGTTGAGCAGCGTTTGGCAAAGCTAGCCATAAATGGAAACGGAAATATTGACACTGCTGGGCCAGAGGAGAGTGAACCCGAAGTCGAGGCGCAAGGACTACCGTCAAGGAACGAAGAAGATGGGTTTCCAATGGAAGGCAAATACGAAAGTCAAATTGAGTGTCAGAAGTGCGGCTTCAAACCGAAGCCAACAGAAAACACGTTCTGCACTCTGACGCTAAACGTGCCGCAGTCAAGCTCGACATCGCTCAATGCTTGTCTGGATGGGTTCTTCAAGACTGAGTACATAGACGACTTCAAGTGCGACAAATGCCGTCTTGTGCACGCAAAAGATATCCTAAGGACACAGTTATCGCGATCCAATTCTGAGAGTTTTAAGACCAGTACGCAACAGGCGATCGCTAAGCTGCAGCATGCCATCGATAGCGACCCTGAGAATCCCCCGCTAGACGTTGAATTACCTCCCACGCGAGACGCTCCCGCGTGTAAAATCGCGAAGCACACGCGACTGACGGGCTTCCCTAAGATTATGGCTATCCACCTTTCCAGATCCATATATAACAGTATCTCACAGAAGAATTCAGCCAAAGTTACGTTCCCAGAGCAGCTACTAATGGGAACTCTATTGAATCGTAAAAAATACAAATTACTCGCTACGGTTACGCATAAAGGCAGTCATCATAGCGGACATTACGAATCCTTTCGTCGACAGAACGTCTGTCTTCCGTTCTCAACTCCAAATGCGTTCCAGGCTTCCGACATCTTCGCCAAATCAGCTACACCAAGTCCAGCCTCAACTCCACGCGTTAGTGCTATACCGAGATCAGGGGATCCTAGTCCAATAGCCTCTATTCCGGATCTTGGTTTCTCTTCATCCGGAAGTAGCTCGTCTAATCAGTCAGTTGATGCCCTGCCTCGGCCATCGACAGATTCAACGCCCCAATCTTCCGCGACGTCCAATGGTCGACATTCCTCTCGTCGTAGCCCGAAGTTTTCCTTAAAGGATCGCGAGTCGGATACCATCAGCCTCAAGTCAGTTGCGGCATCTGCGCGATCGACTATGTCGAGGATATCACACTCGGCTCGAAACAGTAGACCGAGCAGTCCAGCTGGCCAGACGCCGGTTGCGCCACCCATTGTAAATGGGAAAGCGATTACATCTAAAGTAAATGGGGCGAAGGCGAAGCGTCGAAAGCAAACCGACCGATGGTGGCGTATTAGCGACGAAAAGATCAAGGAAGCTAAGACGGGCGAGGTATTAGGGATGCAACGAGAAGTTTATCTGCTCTTCTACGAATTAGAGCGCGAGAGTCCGGCAGAGTCATAGAGCGATGAACACCGGCTCTTGGATAATATGAAGCGGGCAGCAACTTATGACCCCGAGGAAGACGAACGGGAAGACGCATTTCCAAAGCTCGGAGCCGAGCAAAGTGTTATTGGATGGATTAAAGCAATTGTTTTGGGATTTGGCTTGAAACTGCGCAAAATCTCCCGAAGCATAGGAAGAGTGATAAGACATTCATGGAATAACTATATGGGGTACTCTGAATTTGATGATCTCGAATCCAGTTTTGGAAGAGATTCCGATCGATGGCAACAACCTAAGAAGAGTGGAAGTCCCGCATGTCATGAATGTACGGGTATATGGATGGTACCAGAGGGGAAAAAATTGGATCGATCATGATCATCTCGGAAGAAACCGACTGGCGAAGATTACAAAAGAAGTACATCGAACTCTCTGGAGGTGCCAACTGCATAAAGACATATCATAAATGGTGTTTTGTGGCGCATGGAAGGAGGGGAGTTTAACGCATTTTCTGGTCCATTGGCATATTGGGAAGGGGTTTTGTCGGTTCAAAGCCGGTTCATTCGTCGTAGGGGGTTCATAAGCATGAATGTGGATATGAACTTGCTGGATTAGACGTTATCAACAGCAATGGTACCTTGTAAGTTATGAGGGGCTCGAACGCCGCACCCAGGTCAGTAGCATTACATGGAAGCACTCATAGAGATTCGGCATCAGTATAGGATTAGCATTTTGCGTCGGAAAAAACGAACAGTCGGAAGATGTCCGTACTAGCGCTATATTAGGTAGGCTTTCGTACATACCGTATTGGAAAATCCAGCGGGAAATATTAAATTTGAACCAGAGAGCATCGTGGATCATGTTGCATACGTGATTTTTCATCCTTCACTATTGCCCAGTTATACATACCAGCAGGTACTTATCCAACACGAAGTCGATCAAACAGCCCTACACTTTTAGTACTGCCCTTCGAGAGTCAATGTTCCCGTCTTCGTGATGAGATACTCGTTTATAGCAACGTCTTTGCCGGACTCCTTGCCGAACCCCGAGTCTTTGATCCCGCCGAACGGCGACTCCGCTGCTGACGAATTTCCTAATCGTTTTATACGTTATTAGCCTACAGCTCTGCGCGAGCTTTCTGACACGCTTAGTTTGCAAGTACTGCGGTGGAAGCTTACCGCTGTTCAACCCGATCATTCCCGCCTCGAGATTCTCGAACAGACGCCATATCCGATCGATGTTCTTGGTGAAGCAATACGACGCCAAACCCATCTAGATGTCAATTTTAGAACGTATAAGAATAAATTACTTTTATAGTTATTACTTACGCTCGTGTCGTTAGCTGCCTTTACGGCTTCCTCCTCCGTGTCGAACGGGAACAGCGCTAGAAGCGGTCCAAACGTCTCCTCCGAAGCAACCTGCATAGACTGCGACGCATTCGTGATGATCGTGGGTTCGAAGAAGTACCCGTTGTTCGAAGTTATGCGGTTTCCACCCGTAAGTACAGTGCCGCCGTTCTTCTTCGCGTCTTCAACTTGTCCGGCTACCTTGTCGACACCCGCGGGGACTGTTAGAGGGCCCATCGTGGTGTTCTTGTCGATGCCGTGGCCGACTCGGATGTGTCGTGTCTTTTCCGCGAGGAGGTTGGCGAATCTGTCGTATATGCCCTTTTGGACGTACACCCGGTTTGCGGTGATGCAAGCTTGCCCGGCGTGTCGGAATTTTAGAGGTATTAATGCTGAGGAATATTCTAATCA